GTGTCTTGAAGTGAAGGGAAGCTGGAGACCCCGTGTCCTTCACCACCCAAGAGTCCTACTTGGGTTAGTATCCACTTCTCACTCACTGCTCACTCTTAGTACTGCTACTTCCCACATGAGCTACTCACAGGTATTATATATATATATATATATATATATATATATATATATATATATATATATATATATATATATATTATATATATATATAGATTTATATATTTATATATATATATATATATATATGCCTAGGCTTCCTACAGCCAGGAATATTGTTTAGAAAAAACACCACGGCCTATTCACGCGTGTGTGTGTGTGTGTGTGTGTGTGTGTGTGTGTGTGTGTGTGTGTGTGTGTGTGTGTGTGTGTGTGTGTGTGTGTGTGTGTTGCGCGCGCGTGCGTGCGTGTGCGTTTGCGTGTGCGTGTGTGTGTTTATATTAACCTGTTATCCAAATATTATAGTACCACAGTTATTATTGATAAAAGTACAGAATATGGACAATTGCCCTCCCCCCCTCCCCCTACCTCCAACAAAAGTCCTCATTTTATACCAATACTCCTGTAAGGGGTCACAGCAAATACTCAGCAAGCGAACCTAACTTTTCGTTATCCTATTGCTGTATGTATTTTGTATTACATTAGGCCTAAGATTGCATCTCTTAGCTCTATGATTGCTTGTTTAAGCCTACAGGAAGTTATGTTCATAGTTACTCCGTCTCACTTATATCTTTAAGATTCCAGTAGTACAAAATGTGACATTTTTGGAGGGTACAGCAGTCAATATTTGTACATTTCATCTATAGTAGCTTATTTTTTTGGAGGATGTTGGTTTATATATATATATATATATATATATATATATATATATATATTATATATATATATATATATATATATATATATATATATATATATATATATGCTCCGTTTAGATGGTACCTTTTGTAACTATGGATCATCGTACATAGACGTAATGGACAATTAGTTAATATAATTTGATACTTTTCACTTTATAGTCCGAAAAAAATAAGCTAAACACCAGACTTAAATAATCCTAGGCCTAGTATAGCATATATATATATGTGTGTGTGTGTATGTATTTTTAAAGGTTACGGTAATGTGTATTACATTAGGCCTCAGATAGCGTGTATTAGGCTTAGGAAGGTTAGGTTTACTTGGCAACACCAATACAAAAACTTTAACGGTTCGTACAAAAGCAATAGTACCGGTTTCTAGTTTCTAACTGTCCTTTACGTCAATATATGGACGGTGATCCTCATCGTTACTGTAAGTACTCCCTAGACAGGAGGACGGGCTGACATATACACACGATTTGTAATGGAATTTCAAATTACTTTTTCTTCCGTATTTTAGAATTGAAGGGATATAGGATTATGTTATAATATATTGTTATTTGCATTGGAATTCTTATATTTATGCGATCAATATTGGTATTTTAATGTTCTCTTGGATTAGGAATTCACCCAATCACCTTTACATTTCCTTCTCTCTCTCTCTCTCTCTCTCTCTCTCTCTCTCTCTCTCTCTCTCTCTCTCTCTCTCTCTCCTCTCTCTCTCTCTCTCTCTCTCTCTCTCTCTCATGTTCTTTCTTTTTCTCCTTCATCCAGATTAAACTTTGGGATGATAGGTAGTCTTTCTGCTATTCTAGTAGCTAACTAAGTTAAAGATCAACAGGCCTTCTCTTATGTGTTTCCCATCTCCTCTCATATAATATTTTTAATTATTTTCTTATTAATTCTCAATTAAATCAATACTTCAGTCTTTTAACGCACACAAATGTGTGTGTGTGTGTGTGTGTGTGTGTGTGTGTGTGTGTGTGTGTGTGTGTGTGTGTGTGTGTGTGTGTGTGTGTGTGTGTGTGTACTCACCTAATTGTGCTTGCGGGAGTTGAGCTCTGGCTCTTTGGGCCTGCCTCTAAACTCTAAATCAACTGGTGTACAGATTCCTGAGCCTACTGGGCTCTTTCATATCTACATTTGAAACTGTGTATGGAGTCAGCCTCCACCACATCACTGCCTAATGCATTCCATTTGTTAATATAACTACTCTGATACTGAAAAAGTTCTTTCTAATGTCTCTGTGGCTCATTTGGGTACTCAGTTTCCACCTGTGTCCCCTTGTTCGCGTACCACCCATGTGTGTGTTTGTGTGTGTGTGTGTATTCACCTAGTTGTGCTTGCGGGGGTTGAGCTCTGCTCTTTCGGCCGGCCTCTCAACTGTCAATCAACTATCAATTTTTTTCCACACACACACACACACACACACACACACACAGGAAGCAGCCCGTAACGGCTGTCTTAAGTCCCAGGTACCTATTTACTGCTCGGTAACAGGGGCATCAGAGTGAAAGAAACTGCCCATTTGTTTACGGCAACTCCGGGGATCAAACCCTGGTTTCCACGATTACGTTTCCTGAGTGCTCTCCACTCAGCCACCAGACGCCCTGTGTGTGTGTTTGTGTGTGTGTGTGTGTGGGGGGGGGGACAGGTAGGGGGACACAGCCACTCTCCCCCCAGGGAGGGGGGAGGAGGAGAGCACAGGGCTTGATAATGACAGACAGATAAGCTTATAGACACATAATAGTTGGCTGCAACTTAAATCAATCATGAACTGCTTTTCATTATACAGATATTTGTTTGCAATCATTGTAGTCTGGCTACTATGCAGCACCGTAACTATCATAGTGTTGAGTGTGACACTGCATCCTAATTAACAGTATGCCTAATAATATCACCGTAGGGCACTTTAGCATCTGGTATCTGCACCGCGCCCCTGCACCGTAGCGCACTATCAATCACAGTTTCACTGTACCACTGTAGAGTACCATTTTACCTGGGACCACACTTCACCCCGTCTACAAGGGTGTCTTCTAGTCTCAGAAATATAACTTACACAATTTATCACAAAAGTAGAATTTTGTAGCTTTCCAGTGATGCTCTTCAACTCGCACATTTCAGTACTGAATATTAGGACAACATTCACTACACAATTTTGGAAGGAAAAACACATCCTTGGGCTTAAGATATTAGAGGAGAATGATCACAGAAAAACCCACATCTTAATTTAGGTATAAGAGCATGAATACATCAAACATGTGTATTAGCTGACTTAAATGAAGGCATAAGAATTCCTTTGACACTCAGTCTCCACACTGGGATATCTCTTCACTAAAACTAAGTCCATCAGGTTATATTGTAACTCAGCTCAACTAGAGAGGTGATACGGCATAAATGTTGAAGAGTTTACTTCTCCATTCATACTGATAACTGACAAATCTAATGATAAATGAAGTGCCAATGTTGAAAACTTCGGAGCCCGTAGCACTCTATGTTGCGTGGGGCCCCATGTTGTGAGGACCCCATGTTGTGAGGGGGGCCCCCATGTTGTGAGGACCCCATGTTGTGAGGGGGGCCCATGTTGTGAGGGGCCCCATGTTGTGAGGGGGGCCCCCATGTTGTGAGGACCCCATGTTGTGAGGACCCTATATACAATAATATACCTTAATAATAGACCCTATATACATACATACATATATATATATATATATATATATATATATATATATATATATATATATATATGGCGGATAAATACACACACACATATGTGTGAAATACAGTAACACATATTTCAATATAATTCAGTGAAGAAAAAAGACAAGAGTGAGTGATGTTGGCAGTGAGAGACATAGAGAGAATGAGAGAGAATTAAATAATATTTAAAAATAATAAGAATGAAGAATATGTATTTCTCTCTCTCTCTCTCTCTCTCTCTCTCTCTCTCTCTCTCTCTCTCTCTCTCTCTCTCTCTCTCTCTCTCTCTCTCTCTCTCTCTCTCTCTCCACTTTCCTTAACTGTTCTCTTTTTGCTCAACGTTTGTAAGAGAGAGAGAGAGTTAGAAAGTATTATAAAGACATTAGGAGTGTGATGGTGAGTGAGTGTAGGTTGACCTTGACCCCGGCTGACCTGACCCCCTCACACAGGATGGTCCTGAGAACGGCGTCGTTAGGTTCACTCGCCCCGACACGGCTCTGGTAAGGTGGTCTGCCACGCCCTCCCTGCTCTACCCTCCCCCTCCACACCCCTTCCATCACCACCTTCCATCACCCCTTCCATCACCACCCTCCATCACCACCCTCCATCACCACCTTCCATCACCACCTTCCATCACCACCCTCCATCACCACCTTCCATCACCACCTTCCATCACCCCTTCCATCACCACCTTCCATCACCACCTTCCATCACCACCTTCCATCACCCCTTCCATCACCCCTTCCATCACCACCTTCCATCACCACCTTCCATCACCACCTTCCATCACCCCTTCCATCACCACCTTCCATCACCCCTTTCCATCACCACCTTCCATCACCCCTTCCATCACCACCTTCCATCACCACCTTCCATCACCACCTTCCATCACCACCTTCCATCACCACCTTCCATCACCACCTTCCATCACCCCTTCCATCACCACCTTCCATCACCACCTTCCATCACCACCTTCCATCACCACCTTCCATCACCACCTTCCATCACCCCCTTCCATCACCACCTTCCATCACCACCTTCCATCACCACCTTCCATCACCACCTTCCATCACCACCTTCCATCACCACCTTCCATCACCACCTTCCATCACCACCTTCCATCACCACCTTCCATCACCACCTTCCATCACCACCTTCCATCACCACCTTCCATCACCACCTTCCATCACCACCTTCCATCACCACCTTCCATCACCACCTTCCATCACCACCTTCCATCACCACCTTCCATCACCCCTTTCCATCACCACCTTCCATCACCACCTTCCATCACCACCTTCCATCACCACCTTCCATCACCCCTTCCATCACCACCTTCCATCACCACCTTCCATCACCCCTTTCCATCACCACCTTCCATCACCACCTTCCATCACCACCTTCCATCACCACCTTCCATCACCACCTTCCATCACCACCTTCCATCACCCCTTCCATCACCACCTTCCATCACCACCTTCCATCACCCCTTCCATCACCACCTTCCATCACCACCTTCCATCACCACCTTCCATCACCACCTTCCATCACCACCTTCCATCACCACCTTCCATCACCACCTTCCATCACCACCTTCCATCACCACCTTCCATCACCACCTTCCATCACCACCTTCCATCACCACCTTCCATCACCACCTTCCATCACCACCTTCCATCACCACCTTCCATCACCACCTTCCATCACCACCTTCCATCACCCCTTCCATCACCACCTTCCATCACCACCTTCCATCACCACCTTCCATCACCACCTTCCATCACCACCCTCCATCACCACCCTCCATCACCACCTTCCATCACCACCTTCCATCACCACCCTCCATCACCACCTTCCATCACCCCTTCCATCACCACCCTCCATCACCACCCTCCATCACCACCTTCCATCACCACCTTCCATCACCACCTTCCATCACCACCTTCCATCACCCACCTTCCATCACCACCTTCCATCACCACCTTCCATCACCCCTTCCATCACCACCTTCCATCACCACCTTCCATCACCACCCTCCATCACCACCTTCCATCACCACCTTCCATCACCCCTTCCATCACCACCTTCCATCACCACCTTCCATCACCACCTTCCATCACCCCTTCCATCACCCCTTCCATCACCACCTTCCATCACCACCACCTTCCATCACCACCTTCCATCACCACCTTCCATCACCACCTTCCATCACCACCTTCCATCACCATCACCACCTTCCATCACCACCTTCCATCACCACCTTCCATCACCCCTTTCCATCACCCCTTTCCATCACCACCTTCCATCACCACCTTCCATCACCACCTTCCATCACCCCTTCCATCACCACCTTCCATCACCACCTTCCATCACCACCTTCCATCACCACCTTCCATCACCACCTTCCATCACCCCTTCCATCACCACCTTCCATCACCACCTTCCATCACCACCTTCCATCACCACCTTCCATCACCACCTTCCATCACCCCTTTCCATCACCACCTTCCATCACCACCTTCCATCACCACCTTCCATCACCACCTTCCATCACCACCTTCCATCACCACCTTCCATCACCACCTTCCATCACCCCTTCCATCACCACCTTCCATCACCACCTTCCATCACCACCTTCCATCACCCCTTTCCATCACCACCTTCCATCACCACCTTCCATCACCACCTTCCATCACCCCTTTCCATCACCACCTTCCATCACCACCTTCCATCACCCCTTTCCATCACCACCTTCCATCACCCCTTCCATCACCACCTTCCATCACCCCTTCCATCACCACCTTCCATCACCCCTTTCCATCACCACCTTCCATCACCACCTTCCATCACCACCTTCCATCACCACCTTCCATCACCCCTTTCCATCACCACCTTCCATCACCCCTTTCCATCACCACCTTCCATCACCACCCTCCATCACCACCTTCCATCAGTCTTTCCATCACTCCTTCCTTTAGCTCCATCATCACCACCTCTTCCTCTACCTCTATCACCCCTTCCACTACCACCATCACCCCCTTCACACTACCACCATCACCCCCTTCACACTACCAGCATCACCCCATCCACAACCACCATCACCATTCCTTTAACTTCCACATCATCACCTCTTCTACCACTACCATCACCACCACTCTCTTCCATCACTATCCCCTTCCACTACTACCACCACCAATACTACCAACCATCAATACCACCCTTCACCACTAATGTCACCACCCATCCCCACTCTTAACCACCTATCACCACCACCCCTTCACCAGTACCACCACCAATATCACCCCCATACCACTATCCTTAACTGCCCATCACCACCAGTACAACTACCCTTTGTCACCCATCACCACCACTCTTCACCACCGATACCACCACCCTTCTCTACCCATCACCACCAGTACCACCACCCTTAACCACCAACATTACCACCCTTCACTACCAACATCACCACTCTTCACCACCATTCACCACCCATCACCACCCATCACACCAACATCACCAACTGTCACCACCAACATCACCACCTGTCACCACCAACACTACCACCCATCACCACCACCCATCACCACCAGTCAGCACCAACATCACCACCCGTCACCACCATCACCACCATCACCACCCGTCACCACCAACATCACAACCCGTCACCATCAACATCACCACCCGTCACCATCAACATCACCACCCGTCACCACCAACATCACAACCCGTCACCATCAACATCACCACCTGTCACCACCAACATCACCACCCATCACCATCAACATCACCACCCATCACCACCACCAGTCAGCACCAACATCACCACTCGTCACCACCAACATCACCACCCGTCACCACCAACATCACCACCTGTCACCACCAACATCACCACCCATCACCACCACCAGTCACCACCAACATCACCACCCTTCACCACCCGTCACCACCAACATCACCACCCTTCACCACCCGTCACCACCAACATCACCACCCATCACCACCCATCACCACCACCACCAGTCAGCACCAACATCACCATTCGTCATCACCAACATTACCACCCTTCACCACCCGTCACCACCAACATCACCACCCGTCACCACCAACATCACCACTCGTCACCACCAACATCACCACCCTTCACCACCCGTCAGCACCAACATCACCACCCGTCACCACCAACATCACCACCCGTCACCACCAACATCACCACCCGTCACCACCAACATCACCACCCGTCACCACCAACATCACCACCCGTCACCACCAACATCACCACCCGTCACCACCACGGCTTCTATGCATGCCTCGCACCATGCACTCCCTGCTACATGGGACGCACCTCCCCCCCCCCCCCCTCCCTCCCCCAACAAAGCTACTAACAACTACCGAGACCGGTTTAACAACCTATATGACGTCACACGAGTTACAGTGTGACCTTCCTTGTGTTGCTTGACCTCGGTGGGGACCAGTTACGTTCCTTTACCGTGGTCCACACTTTATAAATCTATTTTATTTTGATTGTTTTTCTTAACATTTTTGTTTTATTTTTTATACTATTATTATTATTAATTTTATTATTATTACTGAGAAACTTACTACAATCTCATAATGCCTGAATGAAGGTGAAGGAAAGAACAAATATATGTGTAAGTGTATTAAACCAAATATTGAGCATTTGAACATTTTGATGGGATGAAACCTACATCCTTTCTCAAGGCTGTGTAAACAATGTTTGAAAACACTGTATACACCACTTGGATAAAGTATTTAGGCTTCATCCGAAAATTTGGTTTAATAACTTACACATATATTTGGTCTTTCCTTCACCTTCATTATTGTTATTATTATTATTTAGGAAAAAATACATTTGTGTATTTGTGAAATTTATGTAAGGAATTTACACCAAGTTGTAAGGTATTTACAATTTCCGAATTTAATTCACCAAGTGTAAGGAATTTACACCAAGTCTTTCGCACTCTCCTGAGTGCTTTGTAGAACATGACTCCCTCTTATAGCTCATATCAGGATGGTGAGATTTATAACTCATAAAAACACAAATAAAACTCGGGAGATATAATCACCACATACAAGTTTCTCAAAGGTATTGATCAGGTAGGCAAAGACTGTTTATTTAACACAAGGGCTTAGAAATGGTCTGAGTGTGTGATTAGGACGAGACTTACTTCTCAACGTCTAATGAGACTGTTATAAGATGAAGATAAGCCACCCAAGAGGTGGCATGGGCATGAATAGCTGTTATATATGAAAAGCTGTTATATAAGTTAACATAAGGCTGTTATTATGGGTCGAGTCCTCTTATCCTTCTTGACCTCCTGGCCAGGTCACCACTATTCCCGACCTCTGATGTACCTGCGGTAATGTCTTCTACGGTATTATGGTCATGTGTCCATTTTGTAACCCTGCTATTCTGGGAGCTGGAGTTGTTATTAACAGTGGTGTTCATCTGGATGTTATCCCTCGTAACCCTATCCATACCCCAAGGAACGCGGCTAATGCAACTGTGGAAACTCCGGTTTCCTTTTCAAATGATAGCATCCTCATTAGACGTTCTCGTCTTAATCACACACTCAGGCCTTAACAAATCACTCAGGAGAGTGCCAAAGACTTTGGTGTAAATTCTTTACATAAATCTCACAACTACACAAGTATGGGTTTTTATCCTATGTTATTATGTCTGTGAGAAGACATTACCATTATTAATTATTATTTTTGAGATTATTTGTAGTTGTAGTAAAAGAGGTAATAATAATAATAGAAGTAGTACTGGTAGTGATAGTAGCTATTATTAATGTTAATATTTTGTTTATATCATCTGCTAAAGAAGAAAATTAAAAGGTTTCCTATTTTATTTCTCAACAGAAGTGTGACGTCATAAAGTCAGATATGACCCCATTTTTTGTATATGCTATGGTATTGCTCTTCCCTTCCCTTCCCTTCCCTTCCCTTCCCTTCCCTTCCCTTCCCTTCCCTTCCCTTCCCTTCCCTTCCCTCTCCCCCTTCCCTTCTTCATATTCTAATTCCCTGTCCCTGTCCTCTTCCCTTATTTTCCTTTCATATTGTCTTTCCATTTCCATATTCCATTTATCTCTGGATTACCTTTCATACTGCATATTCCCTTCCATGTTCCTTTCACCTACTACCTTTCTATTTTCCTATTCCCTTTTCTTCTCCCTATTCCTTTCCTTCTAATATTATGTTCCTAGAATCCAATTCCCTCCACCTTCCCCTTCCCTATTCCATCCTCTTCTACTTCCTTTCTCCTCTTTCAATTCCCTTCCCTTGTTCCCTTTACGCTGTGGCGGTTGTGGGAGTTATTGCCCCTGTGGCCCGGTCTCTTACCAGGCTTCCTGGTTGATGGTCTGGTCAGTGAGATCAAGAAGACCAGGAGGCCTGGTCCAAGTAACCCACGAACCAACCTGAGGATATACTTCCTTGAGTGGCGAGGAGCACGTCCCATGTATTATCACATAGGCTCCACCCTCAGAGCACTGGTCACATTTGGGTGGGGTTTCTTCCTCTGCCTGTTTACTCAGTCACTGGATTTCTCCCTCGCCTACGTGTTTTAGCATTATTTATATAGATTTTTTTTTTTAACTTTTCGGCCATTTCTCCAAGTGGACCAGGCTCTGTGGGTGTGCTGTTATTACGTTTGATTACTTTTTCCCCTCCCTCCCTCCTTCCCTCACGGCTTTGCCACAGCACCATTGATTGTTGTTATGGAATGACTCCACCAGCACTGCCAGCACAATTTAGCACTTATGTCACTCACCGGCACGTGTTATATCTATCTATCTATCTATCTCTCTATCTCTATCTCTCTCTCTCTCTCTCTCTCTCTCTCTCTCTCTCTCTCTCTCTCTCTCTCTCTCTCTCTCTCTCTCTCTCTCTCTCTAACTCTCTCTCTCTCTCTCTCTCTCTCTAACTCTCTCTCTCTCTCTCTCTCTCTCTCTCTCTCTCTCTCTCTCTCTCTCTCTCTCTCTCTCTCTCTCTCTCTCTCTCTCTCTCTCTCTCTCTCTCTCTCTCATTTGAGTGTACCATGTACCTTTTTCCATTGACTAATACATTTCTTACAAATGACAAGTAACATTTTATTTATTTGATGGATTACTGTTTTCTCTCTCATTCTACATTCAGTCCTCACATATTTCCCCACATTTCCTCCATTGTCAACTCAAGTATAAGAATCAGAGATGTACGATACACAGTATCACGTGCAACAGACACTCTGCTTTAGTATAGATATTGCCCTGTCTCAGATCCCGCAGAGGTTACCTCAAATACTAGCCCTATAGATGTTACCTTAAAACACTAGTCCTACAGATGATATTCTGTTCCTTATCAACAGACCTACAAAGGTTACCTCCAAACACCAGTCCTACTAAGGGTACACTCTAAAACCAGTTTTGCTCATGCTGATTTTGACTAGCCACTAAAGTTACTCTCAGCCTGCAGCCCTTCATATTTCCACTACACCCAATCACTGACAAATGCTACTTCACTATAATCACACCTGTTTCTAAGATAGTCTTGAACCACAACCCTTATAAGTCTGAAAACTGTTGTCAACAACAGACCACACTCTACATCTCACTACAAAATCTCATCTTTTGTTAACTATAGACCTAGAGACATCAACATACCGTACCTGTGTTTGTTGTCATTTACATATTGCCATGTGGGTTTCCAATTCTATGTCATAGTTGTGTGCGTGCACACATTTGCACATCCAACAATTCCCTTTGTTTATCAAAACTATACACGTACTGTCACTTTAAAATCACCTATCATACCATGAAGTTATTGACTCAGGTAACAGTAATGAATTCTAAATGTCTTATATTTCTGACTAGCCATTGTTGTTTATCTACCATCAGTATTGATCTCCATTTCTTTCTCTCTTTTCCTTTAATTTTATCACAGCACTTATAAGAGCACCGCCACTGCAGCTGCCTACTTTCATGTTGCACAATTCTGCACTAACTCTCTTTCTCTCTCTCTCTTATACTTGTCTTGTGACTAATGCCTACCTAACCCTTCCATCCACAGCACTGGACCCTCCCACTCACTCTCAGCACTGAACAAATATAAAATATAAAACTCTTCTCGCACAGGCCTTTGATGTTTTTGCTGTATTGATGTCACATTTCTAACATGTGTGTGCCACGTTTGTAACACGTGTGTAACACATTTATAATATGTGTATGCCACATTTAATATAGCATGTGTGTGTGTGTATTTCTAACAAATTTGTGCCATGTTTTTAACACATTTCTTCCAGGAATATTTTATGCCTATCTTTTTACTGTACCACTAGCCCTGGTGACAATATGAAAGGGTAACTAGCTATGTAAGAGGCCCTTACATAGATTGTTATATCAGATTGTTTAAATTATTATTTTTTATAATTTAGGGAACTAGCAGTTTTTGATAAAAAAAAAAGTTGAACAATTGTAAGAAAAAAATTATGGTAACTTCCTCATTTTACATATTCATATAATTTTATGATAATATTATTATTTTACCATTTTATACACTGTATTTTCAAATTTTTTACTTAACTGACCCTATTTCACTTTATGACATTATTAACATTTTTGTTGATAATATTTTTTAACACAATTGTGCCCTTGATAATCTTACTTATTACAAGATTTCTTGTCGCAGTATTTACATATTACCTTACGTCTTGCCCTAATTTATTTGCTTTCTTATTTAGATCTTATAGTTTTGTAATAATTATCTTTTATTTTTACTCTTGCCTAATTTTTTTTGTGTAGTCTTATTTTGAATATACTGTACTAAATACATTAGTTACTCACTTTATAATGTCGTGTATAATTTCTTAGTTTTGTATTGAAATCTTGTTCATTACCTATTTTCTTATCCAAGTACTATTTCCTGATCCTTGGATTCGATTAAATATTCCCACTGAGCCTCTCTTTTAACCCATTTATGTATCCTGAATTGATCATATTTTCTGCCTTGCCCTCCTAATGCCTTTACTTACTCAATTGGTTTACAGAGCTTTTGAATTGCCTGAATATATTTCTGCAGACAATGCGTCACAATAACGTGGGTGAAGATATAATGACCAAACCACACATCAAAAGATGAAGAGACGACGATGTTTCGGTCCGTCCTGGGCAATTATCAAGTCAATTGTCAAGTCAAATCGACAATCGACTTGATAATGGTCCAGGATGGATCAAAACATTGTCCTCTCTTCATTTTTTGGTGTGTGGTTTGGTCATCAATGTCTTTATATTTTATTCCTATTGCACTAGTTTAGAAACTTTGCTTAATAACTAATTATTTTGCTTATTTGCAGTGGTTTGCATAATCCAAGAATATCTTGCTTGCTTAAAAATTCTGTAATATATTTAAGTTATTATCAATTATTTTTTGCTTAGTTTTAAATATGGTACTATTATATACAGTAAAAGTATTTTGCCGAGTTAAAATATCTCCTTGTTCCATACTTAGTACTGTACTTAATTGGTGACAATTAAATTTCAGTTTAATTTATTTTGCTTCCATTACAGTCCAATATCTTGCACAATTAGATAATGTCCAGTTCATGATTTTAACCTTTTTACCTTTCTGAAACTGGCTCATATATTTTGTATTTTGTATTTTGTGTAGGGATCTTCCCCACCAGAACTTGTCTATTATCATAATTTTGTCCTAATAGCTTATGCTTATAGTTAAATTTTCCCTGTATAGGTTTTGCTATATATTGACCACAAACAATCCTCCTCCCTGTTCTTTGTGTTTTTATTATCTTCAGTGGATGTTTTGTATTTTATTTTTTACCTAATTTGTGTTTTTATTACCTGTACTATATCTCCAATTCCATATTTCTCCAGTTTTGCACTCCACACTTTCATAATTTTACATATTCCCTCTCTGCCTTATAGATCTTCCATTTCCATTTCCCCACTCTACTAAAACTTCTGATTGAACCGTATTGCTTTAATCTCTCTTATGACATCATATGCCTCATGATTATCATTCCTACATGACTTCCTACTCTGCTATTTTATTCCATTGTTAACCATATCCTCAAATGACTTCCTCAATGCTCCAGATATAAATTTAGTTTGTCATGAACACCCTGCATCTCACAGGTACTGCCATCATGGGAGGCTGCACGCCAGGGCTCAGTGAGCTTCAAAATGCGTACAACTGAGCCCAATGGCCTACTCATGTTTAACTCAGGCTTCAAGGCTGATCAGGTGGGTTATTTGTGGATTCTCGGGCCTTTAAATTATACTCTATTTTCTTAGCATGTTCATAGGCTTAATATAAATTAGGTCTCAATCGTCATTTCTGTAATGCAAGAATGTACAAGTGCAGTGTTCCTTTAAGGATAATTGATAATGCATGTATAAATTGGCATTCAAGATGCAGTTTATGAATGCTAAATCTTCATGGCAGTGTTCAGCAGAATAGTAGTATAGTAGTATATTTTATTTCAAATATTCAGCACTTAATTTTTGTCTCATTTTTCTGCCAGAAAAGATAAAAAAATGAATATTAATTATTGTCATTCCAGTTTTACCAAACTGTATCTGTTTCTGAAAGATTTTTTGACATCTTTATAATTTATCTGCAACACATTTTATTTTATAGTGTAGGTAATATAAAATGAGGATGATATGCCATGTTGAATTTATGAAGGAAAGCAATTGGTCCTGTGTATAATATAAGAGAAATATGTATAATTTTAAGAAAGTTATCAGAAGAAATTAAAGATCCTGCTCTAATATTGCTAGTAAATATAATGTTTAATAATCCGCAGTATTAAATTTTTCAAATACATTTGTATGAATAAAATTACAGTGCAGTATTATTATTATTATTATTATTATTATTATTATTATTATTATTATTATTATTATTATTATTATTATTATTATTATTATTATTATTATTAAAATTAAAGCAATATAGGTATTGCTTATTTTTTAATAGGGAATATTAAGGCTACTATGAAAACTTAATATTTTATAGCGATAAGGAACAACAACAAAATAATTAAAGTGAGATGCTGCTGAATTTCTCTGTTGTAATTATGACTATGATAAGCCCAAGTATAAAGGTAGCAGTTGAAAAACAGAATAGTAAAGATAAGATGTAGAGGAGAACAAGCCATGTGGGCACGCTGTCCAAGAGCAATACCAATTCAAAGATAACCAACATTATCAACGTTGATTAAACATCGAACAAGCACCACTCTTGGATGTTGTGCCTACTGGGAGATACATTGCGGAGGAAGAGAGAAAAAATTCTATTGTTTAGCAATGGGAAGTTATTTTTTTTTAGAGATGTATACATTATCTAATAATGATGATGTGGGGGGAAATTATTTGCTTCGTTTGCAGATGAAATATTTTACAATTTAAATGCGGAATATAAATATACAGTACAGTACTGTAGTTTTATGTTTTTTTTTAATTTTTATTTGCAGTATGTCATTTTATATTTTGGCATTAGTTAAGAACCATACTAATTATCTCTACTTGTACTTCTTTTCTAGGGTGATTTCTTTGCTTTGGAATTGCTGGAGGGCCATTTATACCTGCACTTAAACCTTGGGTCTGGATCACGTCGGGTTAAGGCTACAAACCGAAGGGTGGATGATGGCTGGTGGCATGAAGTCACACTGAACAGGGATGCCCAGGCAGGCAGAATTACTGTTGATGAGGGTGCTAATGACTTCACTACACCAGGTAATGATTTATTTTATATAAAAAAATTATTCATTACTTTGGTATACTCTACTAGGTAAGCTATGAAAACTAAACCTTAGCCGAAAGTTTTCATAGTTGCAAAATCGTGTGTTAGTTTGCAGTCTGATTGACTTTGGTCACTCATACATGAAAGTACAGTATTTCTATGGGGAGTTGAAAATACTGTATACAATATCATACAATTTTTTTTTCTTAGGATACACTCAAACTGCACATCTAGCTAATGATCTGCTGCATTTCCTATTCTCTTATGTATTTATTTTTTTTTTTTTTTTAATCATTTATTATTTCCCATCACTTTTAATTCATTTTTTCTATCTTATGTTTTGTGACAATTCATATAAAACACTGTGCTAGTTTGGATATTTTCCTGAGTGGTGGTGTTATTAATATGGAGCTACTGTGAAGTGTAGAAGGTTTGACAGGTCATGTATTAGGGAATAATCCCTGCCCTCTATGCCTGCAAAACTTCCCCATCCTTATTGGGTTAGTATCTTTCCATTCCATGAGAGTGGGAGGTAGAGCAATGATGGTGATGTATTGACTTACTAGTGATCTTATCTTTCTTTATTGTCATCTATGGTCTTTGTTCTTAGGCTGCTGTAGTCTCTTAATATGCATCACAGGTATTGGATTTTGTTGATTATTGATCTCTCCTCTCTTCATCGCCTCCTTTGTCTTGCAGTATTATTACCTTGTTCCTTTGTATTACATTTTCATGAATATTGAGTCATTGACTTCTCTTGCATTGATACCCTCATTAATGTATCACCATTGCTTCTTCATGTATTGAATTATATTTAATTACAAATATTTTTGGCATTCCTACTTTGGCCTGTCATCACTTTTGTTTTCATCAGTAATACAATTGAATAGTTTTCACTCACACATCACTGTACTTTTTATTTCCACATTGCTATCATTACACACTAAATTGTTCACACATTCTACTTCATTCCATTGCCCATTTAAATCATTAGTGACATCTACTAATGCAACAAATTTAATTACCTCTACAACTTGCATCTTCAGGAGAGTCTCACCGCCTGGACCTGGATGGTGCCCTTTATGTAGGGGGTGTGAACACAGGAGTAGTGGTGCCGCCGGAGCTCTGGACTGGAAGGCTCGGCTTGGGCTATGTCGGCTGCTTAAGAGACTTGGTTATCAATGGGCTGCCAGCAGACCTTGCATCATATGCCAAGAAACAAGATTCTGGTGAGTAATCATAAAGTATTTGAATTCATGCAAATTTAAGAAAGATTTTATGAGAGTTTAAAAAGCTTCAAATAATGTCTACATAAACAAGAAAGATACAGTATAGTAGATAGGATGTTAGATTTATCATAAGTGATTTCAATGTGTCAGTTACTCTGCATTTTGTTTATACTATTTAGATTTATTTACATTTAGAAATATCATTATTATGTTGTTATCGAAAGTGTTAGAAATATTGACAGCATACAACACAGTATTTTGTTTTAATCCAAGACACTTCATATAAAGTACTGTTGACCAGTTAACTTGATGTGGTCTCAACAGGTTCGATTGTCAGCTTTTGCCATAGTGATGGAGGGTCATGCTCATCATCACCTTGTATGCACGGGGGCACCTGCAAGGAGGGCTGGGGGCGTTTCATCTGTGACTGTTCTCACACTGCTTTTGTTGGCCCTACATGTGGCAAAGGTAAGGCCGTTGTTTGTTTTAAATTCTTGAATATATGAAAGTCTTATAAGTTATGTACTGTAAAATTGTTACTATATTCATGTTGAAAATATTTTTCTTTTGGTAATATTTTTTAACTCTTTTTGGTGGTGTTAGTTTTGTTTTTTGAGGTAATAGTGCTTAATTTGTTTCTTTATCAAAGAAGGTTGTGTTGGATGATGGTTTAGGATCATTTTAAGGAATAGTCTTATGTGAAAACATATTTAACACACACTAAAACAAAGTCAGGGTGATTCAAACAAAAGTTTATTTTGACAGTACAGTATAAAAATAAACTACCAAATAACACATCTCAAGTAATAATTAAAATCCCTTCTTGCAGACCCTCAAGCAATTGTTATTAGCACTTTAAAATGTATAGTATTTTAACAACTTCTTTCCTCAAATATACTGTACTCTACTGTAACATACTGCAGTCCAAAAAGTGTGTAAACACATTAAGGTCTGCTCCAACTTGCTACTGCATTAATCCCCCCCCATCCTTTCAAATATAAAAGTTTGTATTAAAAAAAATACAGTTCTGTGAGTGTTTGATTATTAAACCCACATACAGTAATTATATTGTATTTTAGTTTTCTTCAGAAACAGACCTCTTGTGTTTTGTATTTACTGTATAGCAAACATTATTGCTAATATTTATTGGTATTATTATTATTATATTCAACATATTTATCTACAGATGCAGCAACTCTTAGTTTTGATGGCTCTCAGTTTGTGAAAATGTTCTCGGATGAAGAATCCAACACCCAGGCAGAAGATATTACCTTTAGGTTTCGTACTAACCGACCTGTGGGACTTATGTTTGCTACCACCTCCACTCAATCCTCAGACAAGCTTGAACTTGCCCTTCAGGCTGGAAAGCTACGCCTTACTGTTAAACTGGGAGACAGAGATAAGGTAAGCGAGAAAATTATAAAATTATCACATTGAAAATGGGTTTCAAAAAGAGGAACACAGTAAACAGGGGCAGTTATATTAAAAATACTTTTATCAAATTAAATTCATCATTACAGTGATTTTCAGTGAAGCCATTACATCATCTGTGTGTGGAGCTTTATTGAATTTAAGTACTGTACTATATATGACAATTCTTGTAACATAATTCATAACAACTCTTGTTATTCAGATTCAAAGAATGTCAAAATTAGCTTACTGTATACAGTATATATATTGCACATAGCTAATTTCTTTAAATTATATTTATTTTTGTGGAATTAATGCAGACTTCCAGTATTTTTGAAGCTTATGAATTTATTTCTTCTGCAGGTGGTTCATGCTGGCAATGGCTTAAATGACCAACAGTGGCATTCTGTTCGTTTGACTCGCCGAGCTACACAGATCTCCTTACAAGTAGACAAAGAGGCTCCTACACTCGGTAAATAGTCTCCCTTATTCCGGCTTCTGCATATAGTGTTGGTAGTATCATACTGGAATAAAAAACCTGCCCTCACAGTGTTAACAGTATTAAATTGTTATTCTTTATTCACTTGGAAACTTACTATAAGTTCATTTGCTACTCATCTATTATACAAATTACTGTACTTTGAAAAATGAAAGATACTGTTATCCCTAGCATTACATTTCTCTTGACAGTGTTCATATATGCTCTGGTTCATTAACTACACTATAACTTTATTGCTTACATTACCACTTGTTTTGTCCATATTGTAAGCAAACTCCAACTCATCTTTCATATCACTCACTTTGTAAATTCTCTCTATTACTGTTTCTTCCTTAGTGAAAATTCTGTTAAGATTCTTTAATAGTTTTGCTAACTTCCCTTGCATTTTATGAACTTTCTTTGACATTAATATTTTTATTTCTACATTTTTCTTGTAAATTTGTCTTTGATTAGAGCTCACCAATTTTGAATAATGTACAGAAATGAAGTTTATAAAACTTTTTTTATATCTCATTATTACCTTGTGAGAGGAAGTATCTCATGATGTAAATTCATGGGTATGCCTTCACTCATCCTTGGTCAGTCATCTTGCAAGCAAAATTTACTTGAAAGAACATTTAGCACTTTTTAGGTGTTCTGTTCATTATTGGTTTGATATACTAGTTTATTTTAAAAACTAAACTAATCTTTTGTAAATTTTTCCCTCGGCTTTCATAATGGACATAATACATGTATACAAAACTTGGTAGCTCTTCCTAAAATAAATTCTTTTCAATTACACTCTTCATTTCTTTTGAAATGCTGTACTGTAGTTACATTTTCCATTTAAAAATACTGTAACTACATTTTATCCACTTGCAGATCACACAATGGGCCGACATAGTATCCTTCAGTATCGGGACATTCACATAGGAATGACCAGTAATGATTCAGCTACCAATTGGAGGTCATTTCCTTCACCTGCTTCCACTGCATCAGCATCTCCACTTCCTTCTTCTGTGTCTACTGATTCAGCTTCTACTAATCAGGGCTTCATCCCACCATTCATAGGACAAATGCAAAGTTTTTACATCAACGGAAACTACATCTTTGAAATGGCACGTGCTGGTCATTTGAACAAGATGGAGGTGAGTTTAGAATTTCAGAAGTTATTTGTATTGAAGAGATAAGAGCATCAGTTCAAATGCTTAAATATAGGGAGAAACTGTAGGCATTTTTGAGGTACAGGTATATGCAGAAATGTTTAAATACAGCAGAGAAAAAGGAATGTTTATACTGTATATTTATATTATGTATACTGTATAGAAGAAGGTACAATGGGCTATGTTAGTACAAATTTTGACGATTAATTGATACATTCTCACAAAACCACTAAACTGCATTGCAGTAATGAAAGAACTGTAGAGGCATTAGTCTACAAAGTATTTAAGTAAAGCGTATGACAGAATATAGATTGGAAGAGTACAAAATCTTTAAGGAAGAAAAAGCAAGGCAAAAGGTACGAAAGGTAAGGTGTAATAAAGAGGATAGTAATAGGAATAAGAACCTGTTCTTATGTTCTTATTCCCATTACTATCTCCTTTATTACACCTTACCTTTCATACATTTTGCCTTGCTTTTTCTTCCTCTAAGATTTTCTTCTCACCTCTCTCTTGCCTATTTATTGCCTTGCCTTCATCCCTCATCACAATTGACTTGAGAATGGTCCAGGACGGACCAAAACGTCATCATCCCTTCACTTTCTAGTGTGTGATTTGGTCAACAACAACAACAACTGGTTGTTTACAAGCACCTTATACTTGGCTTATGAAGCAGTGAGGTCCTGCTATAAATGTATTTCTGTAGTGTGATGGTGCTGGTTCTTTGTGATGCTGCAGTATTTACTGAATAACTTTTTTCCTGTATAATCTCCTATTTCTACCTGGCTGGTGCCTTCCGACCCTAAGATGTTAAAAGATTACGTAGTGACAATGAAGTGAATTTCAGCTTTAGGAAACTTTGGACGGTTTTACACAGGATGTATACCGAATTTTATTTTCCTGAAAATCATAAAAATCTGTCACATGCTTTTACAATACTCAGTCACAGAACATGCTACTGGAGATGACGAGTCACAATAACGTGGCTGAAGATGTTATGACCAAACCATACATCAGAAAATTAAGAAACGACCTGCTACTATTATAGCTAAAATCTCTAGCTGGTCATGCCTTCTAAAATATTTACAAAAATTAATCCACAACATCTCATCTTCTTTATAAATATGACAACTAAACAATAATTATATCTGCAGGTGACAGCTGTGTTTGGGAGGGGAGCCCAGGTTGTCCATCATCCAGTCACATTTAAGTCCAGGACAGCCTATGTAGCACTCCCACAGCTTAAGGCCTATGCTTCTACAAATATCTACTTCCAGTTCAAGACCCTTCAACCATCAGGACTTCTTATGTACAATGGAGGAAAAGGTAAGAAATAGTCATGATATTGTAACATTATTGGGTTATTTGATATAGTTAACTAATTGTATATCCTAAATAAATTTTAATAAAGGATGAAAATTTTCCTGGCATGGCTTTTATACTAGAGTAGATAATAGTAGTTCATTCCAACATCTCTTGCAATATTTTCAAAAGTTTTCCTTTCATAATTATTTCAAAATTCTGCTTGTTTAGCCACATGCCCTATGGTGATGGTGACCACATGTTCTACACTAACAGATAATATGTGTACAGTCTTGCTGTAAGACATAGCAGCTAGTATCAGTGTATAGTCTTACTGGAACAAATACAGAATACATAATTTTTGTTTTTGTTACATATCTCTTATTATTGAATTAGCTTCTTTCTCACATTTACTTCTTCAGGACCTCTTGCTTCTCTAAGTACTGTACATGTATTGCTTCCCACAATAGTGACAATGAAGGGAATTTCAGCTTTAGGAATCTTTGGAAGGCTTTACACAGGATGTATACCCAATTTTATTTTCCTGAAAATCATAAAAATGTTTCACATGCTTTTACAATACTCAGTCACAGAACATGCTACTGGAGATGACGAGATAAAAATACCCGATTGACATAAGGGCATCTATAAATCAGTTTTTTTTTTTTCATTTTTGTCTTTCTAGACAGTTTATTGAGATGAATTCCCTTATACTTTTACTTTTTCTTTTCTGTTTTCCTCATTACCTACCATATGTACTAATTCTTATATCATTTTAATTTTTCTAGGTCATGATTTTCTGGCCCTGGAACTTGTCAATGGTCATGTTCACTTGATTTTTAACTTGGGTGACCGACCTGTTAGAGTGCGGGACAACAATAAGATGGCTCTCAACGACAACAAATGGCATGTAGTGACTGTAAGTCGTCCTTCGTCCCTCCAGCACACTCTTATGGTTGATGACAACATTGCAACTGTCACTAATGGTGGGAGTAGTGACAACTTGGACCTTCAAGGCTTTCTTTACCTTGGTATGTAACTTTTCTTTGTGTTTCTAATTATAAGATTCTTTACTTTCTTGTCACAGAGGCAACATGATAAAAATGATAGTGAAGATGTTTGTAATTAATATCTTGTGTTGCAAATAGAAACCTCTTTTATATAAAATAAATTTCTGTGGATAAATATCAATTCACTGCTTAACAGGAAAACACATAGAGCATTCAAAAATGTTCAAATCTACAATGAACAGTAAAGGAAGGTGAAATGTTTATATATACAGTAGATAATACCGAAGAACGAAATACAATTAGCCTATTAGTTAATTAAACAGATTGAACCAATGGATAAATATTATTATGAGAAAATGCAGGGTATTATGTTTTCCACTATCTTTTTCTTGAGATGGCGTATGCTAAGATATTCTAACATAGACCACAAAAATTAATGTGATTTCTCTTATGGATTCTGAGATTTTATCCTGCTAAACTTTTTGCAGACATTAATGTTTTTTTATTTATATATACAAGACTTCTTACATTCTTATAAAGCCACTAGCACACATAGCATTTCGGGCAGGTCCTTAATCTTAATTTTCCCGGGAATACGACCTGCCAAATCATGAACGAAGCTGCGTGAAGAGAGGCATACATTTGACTAGGATTGACTAGGATTGGCACCTAGTCAATCCTCCTCGGCCAGAATACAAACCCAGGCCAAATCGCCCGTGAAGTAAAGGGCGAGTGTTTTACCACTGTGCCCAAGGGACTGGTGCAGTGGTATGACACTGTGCCCCGCTGTGCAATTACAAAATTAACTTAATTTAATTTGTATACTGTTTATCATTAACTGAAATAACTTCTTAATTTTATCTTCTTGTAAGGGCACGAACTTGTAAGCCATACGCTAGAGTACAAACTCACAAAACCTGTCCTTATTTTCATATTTACAGCATAGGTACATTACTTTAACTTTAAACCAGGGATATAGAACCAATATGCATTTATAAACACTTCAAACACAAGAATGACCATGTGGGACCGGCACCATATTTTTGCACTGGCGGGACTCAAGAAACAATCAAAGTGCATGCTATACATTTATTTAAACACAGGAAAAGGGATAATACACTAATAAGGAAAAATCTCTCAATTACCAGAATAACGATTACAGTTCCAGTCACTCAGATATATATGGAGGTCAATAACCTCACACAGTGAGGTGAGTACCTCATGAGCACACACCACACAACCTGTGGGTGTGTGTTTGGAGTCTCAGTCCTCCCTCCCTTGTGCAGTGCAGGGACACTCCTCTCACAAAAACGTGCGGGAAATCTTTGCACACAGAATCATACTCATTTACTAATTCATACTCTCAAACACAAATGAAACATAAAATTTAACACAAATAAAACAAACTGGTATTTTAGCTAAGAGAAACATTTACATTAATAACAACAAAAGCTAAACTTTATATACCAGTCATCACATTCTAAAATATCATTAAATATTACCTAACAAATCTTCACCACCAGGTGGCGTTCCTCCGGAGATGTACACAAGGTTGCCTCGCCATGTTGTATCACGATCTGGTTTTGAGGGATGTATGGCATCACTTGACCTCAATGGTGAAGCACCAGACCCTGCTGGAAAGGATGTTCCTATTATGGCCAATCATGTGTACCCAGGCTGTGAAGGTTAGTACTAAGCGATGCACTAGTGTGCCATAATGTAATTTTTGCTTAAGCATTTCATTTATTATGGCATTATCAGAGATTAACATAATTTTATAACAATTTTTAAATGCATCATCCTCTGTTTTTCAGGCCCCAGCACCAAGTGTCATAGGAATGCATGTGCTAATGGCGGTACATGTGTTCAGCAGTGGAATTCATATTCTTGCAACTGTGATATGACATCCTTTACCGGCCCCACCTGCTCTGATGGTTAGTTCTTGGTGTCTTTCCTATCACATCACTTTACATATATCTTCTGTACCCCTTGCCTGTAGTATACAATTATTGATATGCTTTCAGTAGTTATTTGATATATTAGTTGTTCAGAAAGCTAGTGAAAATATTTTGGAATAAAGTCACATACCTTATTGCCAACATACTATTAGGTATCATAGTTGATATTAAAATAATAAAAAGGCAGATCTCTTCTCTCATTCCTAATTATATTATGTCAGATTTTAATTTTTTTTGCTCTTACTGTTGGTACTGCTAAATACCAACATATCATTATCTTAATCATATCTTAAAAAAACTATATACAGTACCATTTTACAATATGCCTTAAAAAGGAGTCCAATCTGCATTTGTGTAATGCTTGACATTTTCTGAAATTTCTTCTGGAAGATTTCCAGTTTTGGGAGTTTTACTTTTTATATATTTATTTATATTTTTACAAGAAAGTACAGTAGGTTTTGTAACAATTTTGGTATGTAAATGGTACTTTTAACAAAACACTTAAAAGTACTAATTGCAGTAAATAGTTTGAGAATTAGTACTGATTTGAAAGGTAATAGACGTATAGTAAATTTTAAGTGAAGTACAGTAATTAAGCTAGTGAATATGTAGTAAATATGTTGCCTATTTATTGGCTAAATATATTCATATTTAGCTAATTATATTTATTAGCTAAATATGTTCATATTTAGCTAATAACTATAAAACAGTAGTACTAAGCAAAGATGGTAATCATACAAAATTATTTTGATGTAGGTATACATATAGATGGTACAGTACTACCACATGGTTGTTTGGTAGAAATGATTTAACAATGTAGTGTGCATAACGAGGAAGAAAATTAGGTCCTTCTTTGCTTTTCTTTGAAATGCAATTTATGTTAAGGAATTCTTTATTTCATTAGGAAGTATATTACACATTTTAGAACCTTTATTTGCATTGAATGTTTGCATTTTTTTAAACAAACTCAGTGAATACTAAATAAATACTTACTTTTTGCGTGATGTTCATGTATTTTATTACTATACATCCATTTAGTAATAGTCTCATGAGATTTAGTATTACAGTGTCATATATTGTAAACATATAGGCACAAGGAAATGTATGGCTTGCATTCACCAAAGTGTACTTATATGATGGGAGCTATGCTTTGGAGCTAGCTGAGCTAGCTAGGGAGCTAGCTGAGTCGTCTGTTTACTAGAGGGAGGTCCGGTGAAGACTCAGCATTGAGTCCTCCGTGCGGCAAAAGTAGCGGTATTTTTAAGAAGGCCTTGCCGCAGTTTTGGACATTATATGCATATACTCCTGTACGGAATTTCATTGCAAATACATTGATACCAAAATGAAAGACCTCAGACCAGAATTGAGGTAACAAAGTTGAAAACAGAATACCCATTTTATTCCTCTTTATAAGCGCTCACGGGGGTAACACTCCGTCACTTTCTCTGTTTGCTATGGGTAGTATGCCAGGCTTTTGGACTTTATATTTGCATATACGCCTGTAGGGAATTCTATTGCGAACACAATGATACCAAAATGAAAGAGTTAGGACGAGAATTGAGATGTCCAAAATGTGGAGAGTGTACACATTTTATTGCTCCTGCGTACTCCCGTGTAGCACGCTCTCATTTTCTCACTTTCTCGCCAGACTTTTGGGCTTTATATGCATTTGGTCCTGTACAGAATTTCATTGCGAATACATTGATACCAAAATGAAAGACTTAGGAGTAGAATTGAGGTAAAAAAGTTGAAAACAGAATACTCATTTTATTGTTCTTTATTAGCGCTCACGCGGGTAACGCTCTGGTACTTTCTCTGTTTGCTGTGGGTGGTATGCCGGGCATTTGGACTTTATATTTGCATATACTTCTGTAGGGAATTCTATTGCAAACACAATGATATCAAAATGAAAGACCTAGGACGAGAATTGAGATGTCCAAAGTGAAGAGAGTAAATTGAAGAGAGAGCTCTTGCCCGCTCCCGGGTAAGACGCTCTCACTTTCTCGCCGGGCTTTTGGGATTTATATTCATTTAGTCATGTAGAGAATTCTATTGCGAACACATTGATACCAAATTGAAAAACCTAGGACGAGAATTGAGATAACAAAGTTGAAAAGAGTGTACACTTTTCAGAATTACCACGATCTCTAATGTAATGAGAGGCACTTGGGTTGGCACAGCGCTCTCTCTCTGGTAACCGCGGCTTGTTTTCATCACGTCAGCGGGTGGAACTTGCTGCTCTTTTTGACATTATATACATATACTCCTGTTGGGAATTCTATTGTGAACACATTGATACCAAAATGAAAGACCTAGGACAAGAATTGAGTTGACAAAACTGAAAAGAGTGTAAACATTTTATCACGCTTGTGCACTCCCGGGTAACTTTCTCTCACTTTCTCTGTTTGTTGCGGATGGTAAGCCAGGCTTTTGGAGTTTATATGCATTTAGTCCTATAGAGAATTATATTGCGAACACATTGATACCAAATTGAATATCTTAGAACGAGAATTGAGGTGACAAAGTTGAAAAGAATATACACTTTTAAAAATTTACCGCGCTCTCCCTCGCGCTCCCGCAGAATGCCCAAACCCACTAGTGGGGTAGTGGGGTGCTCGGGGGCCCAGAGCGCGAAATTATTACAAATTTGCATGATAAATGAGAGCTTTATATTTTTTTCCAGAATCAACATCATATGAATTTGGTCGTGGAACGGGTCTGCTGACCTTTGAGTACCCTGATGGTCGCTGGCCAGACTCCCGCAGAGACCTATTGGCTCTTGGTTTCATGACTCAACAGGATGATGCTGTGGTCTTACGACTTGACTCTGCCAATTCCAATGACTATATGGAATTAGAAATTGTAAGTTATTAACACATTTATCAGGTTTATTTTAAAATATTTAATAATTGCAATAAAGACTGCTTTTTCTTGCATTTAGTATTAGGCTCATATGAATATGATCAGTTCAAGTCTTTATAGCACTAGAAGAGCAGCAGCAGATGATCGGTAGGCATGAAAGACTTAATCACATGAAGAGAGGATATTCTCTATCAGTCATTCCTCCTACCGCATGTTAATCATATGCTCGTTTACCATCGCCAGGTTGAGGGTAATATCTTTGTGGTATACAACATGGGTACAGAGGACCATCCTATTGGTGAAGTTATGTCAAGAGTCAATGATGGATTATATCATGTGGTTCGCTTTATTCGTTCTGGCCCAAATGCTACTGTCCAGATAGATGATTATGAAGTTCGTGAAAAGAATCCCTCAGGTAAGTTTAAGATGTCTAAATTTCATAGGTGTTTCATCTTGGTAAAATTAATTATTCATCGATGCCTTGCAGCTGAAAATAATTTAGTGTTTTAACGGTGACTGATATTTTGTGATGGAAAGTAATTTTTTCCTCATATGCATTGGCTTTTTATGACACTGTATTACAAGAACACTTCATACAGTTTTACAGGGTGAGGTGGATAATTATATAATGATATTATGTCACTGGTGCAAACATCATGCCACATTTTAATTTTAATTAGTACAGTTTTTAAATACAGTAGTTATCACTTACATATGCTTAATTATGCAAAAACGTTATTGCTAGAGTTTGAGTACAGTACTAAGTTTGTTAAATATACAAGAATAAAATATGCATTCTCAAACAAAATTCATGTGTATTACACTTACATATCCAGATATTTTTCATTTTTTAATCTACTTTTTGATTACATATTATTTTTCCAGTGCAGAATATTTAACACTCCATTGCAGAACAAAAAATATTATTTTTGGAAAGCAATAATTATTCTCTGAAAATATAAATATTCTTTTTTTAAAGCATTATGTTATATTGTATAATTTTATCTTATTTTGTGTATATATATATATATATATATATATATATATATATATATATATATATATATATATATATATATATATATATATATATATATATATATATATATATATATATATATATATAGATATATGATGTGAAAAGAAAATTTATTTAAAAATTGCAATATAAGCTTGAGAAGGTAGATGAGTACCATAATGTCATTATACACATTGTCCATCAGGTCGGTGATATAGCACTAGCAATGTTTCCATCCATCCATATTATGTAATATCAAACAAATCAGCATAATATGACATGAGTTGTAATTCTAATAGAAATGTGACATCATTAATAGGGTTAGATGATGTTTAAATTGTAGTTTTTCCATGCAAATTGTATAAGCGTGCTTCAACCGACCGTTCATTATCTCTCCAGTGTGGTTAAAATTATGTAACTACTCTATTAACAAGAGTAACATAAAATCACAATAAACAACGGAAACATGCAGTTTAGATTGATATTCTTTATTTTCTGATTATTAAGGGTAAAGTTACATTCAGCTTCTGTTGTTTAGAAGCGTTCAAGCCTTCATGGCACAGTATGTGCCACTTAGCTATGTATTTACTGTTAAATATATTTTATTATGCATTAATGATGGCCAAGGCAATACGTCTTGGTATAAGACATGCCTGGATGAAAATTTATTATAATTAAATTAAATTATAATAAGTGACATAAGAAATAATTAGTTACTGAAGATACCACTGACACTCCATAACAGCTACTTTGATAACAATGTGTCTCACAAGGCATCACTCTTTCTGTACTGTTATAGGAATCAAACCTGGGTCCTTTCATTTGTGGCCCAACTGTGTTAACCTGTGTGTCGCAGCAGAACCAAGATAGTTACAAGCGACTACAACACAACTTATCACATTCATACTCGTCAGAGGATTTGCTGTCTGGCTACCACTATCCCGCCTGTACTGCCACAGATTTGGAGCCTTGATAATTAAGGCCATCTCAGTAAACTACATTGACAGTAAAAAATATATATAAATTAAAAGCACAAGAAGATACAGTGGGTTGGAGTATTTGTGTTAACGCTTTAACACAGATAGCATTATGTGCATACTCTATTTATATTACAGTATTAATCCAATTTTATATATAAAACTACAGAGGATCTGGTTACAGTGGTTAATTAATAGGTACAGTATCTTTATACTGTATATTATAAAGCTACTAATTACATGCATATTTTTGTACAGTATCAAGAATTAATGGGCACTAGAGGGGCTAGGCACTAGAAGGGCCGGGCACAAGAGGGGCCAGGCATTTGAGATGATAATGGTGTTGAAGGATTTTTCATAAGACAGTGTAATGGAAAGGCATTTTTCCTCTTGAATTATATCATATCATTCCTCTATAGCACTTGGTTCACAAACAAATAGGTCCCGGGTTTGATTCAGTTGTTAGTTAACCATGTAAATAAATATGAAATTATGAAATCTTATATTGGCCATTGCTTGTATTGACTCTTTAATCACTTACCAATCCACCATTTGAGTTATTAGATGCTACCTTCAAAAATTTATATAATATTTGCTGGTAATGATATTACCAGCCGGTAGTACAGTACAGTCAAGTTCATTCTCGACTCGCATTCAGGAATTCCAGGTTTGAATCCCAGGTGGGACAGAATTGGTGGGGTGCATTTCTATCACCTAATGCCCCAGTTAACCAATCAGTAAATAGGTACCCAAGAATAAGTCAGCTTATTGCGGGGTTGTATCCTGGTGAGGGTATAATTCAACCCTGGGGGGACGGGGGGACCTCGATACAAGACTTGACGTATATAGTTACTGGCTGTCTGTCCCCCAATGTAATGAGTTATTAATTTTTATTATTACTACTGTAGTTAGAGGGTAAGCATTCATGTTAGGACAATTGTAAACATACATTTACTCTTTAAATATTTTGTTTCAAGTGCCTTAGGCCTATGTTGTACAAATACACTGGATGCCAGGAATGTAGCAAATAGAGTAACATATCAATTGTTGGTTGTAGAGAAAAACGAAATGAAATATAAAATACAAGTGGTATTACAGTATTAGGGTTTTAGAAGATATAGAGAGTAATGCATAGCATAAAGTATACAAGTATACATAGTATACAAGTGGTATTATTAGGTTTAAGAAGATATAGAGAGCAATACATAGTATAGTATAGGAATAACTTATTAGTAGATTATAGTTGGGAATTGGAAATGTATTGACAAATGAGAGATTGTACAGTACAAATGATTTAGTGTCAAAAAGTGGTTGAATATTTTACCAGTTATTCATTAAAAAGGAGAAGTTTAAGAAATAATTATTTCAAAGTAAAATTAAATAAGGCAAAAATTATTTGTTTTCTTGTTGATGACAAATTGGAAGAGTGAACTGAGATGCAGTGATGAAGTTTAAAAGGAAATATATGACAAATAAACTAGTTACCAAAATAAAGAGCAGAATCTTTGAATGGAAACTTGTAACAAATGAACTACAGTAGTTAACAAATTCAAGAATAAAATTTGTAAGTAGTGATCTGTCAATGATCTGACAGAAAATGATCCGATGATCTGTCAGGAAAACAACATTGTGTTGATACTGTACTTTTATTGCTGTATTCCTATATAGCTACACTTTATACATTGTTTTGATTGTTCATAGTGTCAATTGTAGCACCCACAGAGGGGGGTAAAAGGCTATAGCAAATAACCCTACATGTATTACAAATGTATGCATATTTATAAAATTATTGATATTTTTAAAGCAGTAACTCAAAGGAACTGTTAATTGAATATTAAAAAAAAAAATTATAAACAGGGCTTTGCTATAGCAAGTAATAATGAAATATTTAATTCTGACAGGACCTTTCTTTGGTGGTTAATATGCAAAATAAGAGTGCCTTGTTATGGAGTATAATGCTTAAACTTTTATACCCCTAACTCATCATGAGGCAAAGTGGCTCCAGTTCTTTCACAGACTTGTATGTACATCTTGGCAACCCGCTGGCAAAGGATATATAAAAAAAAAATTAACCTCATTTCCTTGCAGAGAATGTTGAGCATTCTGACTACAAAGTGTTGAAGAAACTCAGATCTGGGATCTGGCATGGTGAGAATCGCTCCTCCTACGCTCGGAATAAGACACACTTTACATTAATTTTGTTTCTAAGGCATAAGACCTTTGTAGCTTCTAATGGGTCTTTCACTGTGGCAGTCTCAGGAACTAGTTATGGGCAGTACAATGAGTTCCATCAGACTCCTAGCTATCAGAATTCAATCAGACTCAAATATATCAGAAGTTTTTCTAAATATTGTTCAATAATATCATATTTTAAAATTGGTTTATCTGAGATTGCTACAAATGATGCACGATGTTCTTTGCACACTGGATCCTCACCACCATCTTTGTATTACCACAAACTTATCCAAACTAATATGGCACTCCTACATCAGTCACAATTTTTTTATGTGTAAACTATAAAATTTTATTTATGTTAAACCACTCTATATCCTGTGTCAGCCACCAGTATATATGATTATGTTCCTACAATATCTGCCTCAGTCATTGCAACCTTTGCCGTATATCCGCTGCAGTAGTTGCCTTCTGTCTGTCACACTCAATCTACTGTAGTTATTGTCACACCTTCATTATTATTATACCATCACTGCATTATTTCTACTAACTTGGCTCTACATCTTCCCACAAAACTGCCGTGTAGATACCAACAGTATCTTCTCGTTATATATATCTAAACCATACAGTTACTGTATTACTTTACAAAACAGTACTATATTTCATTTACACTTACAATCAAATATACCTCTAATCTGTTATGTACTTGTCGCTAAGGATTAGATCAACTATGTCAGTCTTTCAACTGTTATTGATCTGGATCTATTACGGTCTTTATGTTTAATGATAATCAAAATAATTTTTTTACACTTATCTGCAATAGAAGTTTTTGCTATTGTAACTCATGAGTTCAATAGCTTCAGTTAAGCTCTTAATAAAGCTCTCATTTAAAATTTTTGCTTTGGGGAATCATTTGCTTTACTATTGTATCTTGTCTCTTAATAGTTCATTTCTTTCCTGGCAATTACTTATAATTGCTATACTACATGTTCTTTCACAGGAGTATAGCATCACAAAAAACTTTATTCTAATTTAGTTCAAATGTTTTAAGTGTTAATCTTTTTTTAAAGGCTACCGATGTATGTTAATTTATTTGCCATCATTTTATTACCTTATTCATTAGTTTTATAAGCTTATAACTACATGATTTTGGAAGAATTTAAGGAGGCTGTGCTCTTTGAAGATTTGCATATACAGTATTTATTGGGTATTTTTATATTTTTGTACTGATGCAAGGAATGCAAGCTATGGAAGTATTGTCAAAGATTAAAATAGCATGCAGGAAGGGTGTGAAAGGTGTTATATACTATAGCATATATGGAGTTGCACTCAGTGATGCAAGGCCTCACTGAACCATTCCTTTGGGCTTCATAAGATGTCACCCCAGTTTAGTGGGACACAGCATCAATATTTACAGTACAAGCTTTTAGCAGCTTATGATCAGCCAATATTTTTGCTTTACGTTTCATGGCTCATTGCAGTGTTTGTTTGGAATGTGTGATTATGTATATGCTACATTGTAGAGTTGGTAAATAATAGGCATTTTTTATTACTGAAGATACTGTACTGTGTGTTATGCTGTTATAGTCAGTTGGAAATTATAGCACACTTATTTCAGTGTATTACTTGAGCCAGTGCAGTGACTGCATGAAAAGAGAGAAAGTAGCTTTAGTTTATACAAATTAAAATACTAAAATTGCAATACACAGTGTTATGTTTGGATATTGAATTTTATCTGGTGTTGAAAATATATTTTATTTTTTTAAGTTACGATCATGATAGCTAGCACAGTTACATCATAGGAAAAATCTAATTTATGAAACTTTATTTTGTTTGAACTGTACTTTGATATATTTCTGCAGTTTATGTTTTTATTGTCATCCTATATTCAGTAGACATTTCAATAAGAAACAAAAGGAGGCAAATACTTTTTTATACACAATGCTTTATTTAGATAAAACAATAATTATATCTGGATTATTTAAAACAAATTTAATTTCTTGTTTCATCTCACAATCTTAAGCACAAAACTAAGTCCCAATTCATCTCGCAGGAAAATAATTTATTTCCTATTATAATACTATTTCCTTATATTTTGCCTCACAACCACAAATATTTATCTTTCCATTTTCCTCTCCTGTTCCTGTTCTTTTTTGTAAATTTATTCACAGTACTTTACTTTTGAAACTCCCATTCAAATCAGACATTGACGTTTCCAGATATAATGTTCCTGACAAGCATTTAACTTTATAGCCAAACTCGACCTCACTCAGGGAGTCGTCTTCGGACAAGTTTCATCCTACATGACTTAAATCAACAATGACTCTAAACTTCCTTCTGTCAGTGCAAGGGAGGGAGGAGAGCCTCTCCCTGCCCTCCACAAGATGCATGTATCAGACCCCAAGTCAAAGTCATGTGCTTGAGGCGATACACAATGATATCATTGGTCCTCTCGTCTGGTAACATTTCCTCAAGCAGTGACTGTGAATCTGGCTTCTCAATGGAGTAGACCCCAGAATTCCCCTTCAGAAAGATCTCACTACTGAACTGTTAATACAATTTGTATTAATATTAAAAAGTAAGGGTTTCAAGATGAATAAAAGTTTTAATTATCTCCTTATCATTCATCTTAAGGATAGACTTTTTAGTATTTCTGAAGTGGTTTTCTGGAGGGGGACCCCAAGCACCGCTCCCTCACCGCATGGATTGGAATTATTTCAGCACATGTTTCCGTATATACAATTTGCACCAAATAAATCACAATCTGTTGGTACTGCAGGGTTAAGAAAGTATCAGTGTCAGTAGCAGTTTCACTTAGTGTAACATGTCACTTTAACAAAGTTGGACTTGATAATGATACTATAATTTGAATTGATAACTTGTTTTCAGTTTTTAATGCTTTTAGTTGCGAGCAATGTTTCCATTACACTATGATGAGCATGCTGCTGTCACTGCGCCACTGCTGTCTCCTCTGTCACGCACTTGTCACATGAGCTGTTGTAGGCTCATCTGACACATGGTACTCTTAGGCCACAATGTGTGCCCTTGTTTTAGCCAATGTCACCAGTAATGGTAACAACAGTGAGCTTTAAAAGACTGAATGTCTTGCCAAAAGAATGGTGAAGATGTTTTAGTCTGATGACCCATATGATCTCACTTGTAATTCAAATATTTTAGTTTAAAATAGAATTGAAAATTATTGATGACTTATGGTATAAAGCTTCTATTGGGCATTTTTTTGGTGCGTGTTTGGAATTTCATAATTTGTGGAAAAGTACTCTACATTTATTAATATAGTCATGTCTGAACAATATGGGTAAAGTGCATAATTAATTTGTTATGTTACTCATGAATACTAAATATTTAGACTAATAATTTTTGCATATTGATGCACTTACCCTATTTTTTCTACTAGAATAATTATTATTCATGATATTATTTTAAAATTTAATTCAGTAGGTTATTGGGTTAAATATTTTGATTGCATTTGTTTACTTTATTATAAAATGCAGGAGGAATATTAAAATGACCATTCACCTACATACTCAATGTCAGCTCTCAGTAAAGTCTTATGCTTCTTTCTACAGGTCACCAGTTGTCTGTATTCAATGCTCAGGCACGATTGCAAGTGGGTGGTCGCAGAACCAAGAGGTCGCCATCTATTGAGAGACCCTTCCAGGTAAGCTAATACTTGGTAACATCAGAAATTATGGAAAGAAATTTAGTCTTCTTTTTTCACAACATATGAGTTATTTGAAGTTAAATTATATCCAAAAGTTTGTGAATTTCGATCAAGATTTAGTAAGTATTCATGTAAAATGTTCAAGTATTCTATACAAGCTATTGAATCATAATTATATAAATAATATAATGTTTAATATTTGGTTAGTCTTGGTATGCAAGAAAAGAAATCCTAACACAAAATACAGTTCATTTTAAAATTTCTCAGAGAAGTGAATATTAAGTTTTGCAAGCCTGATTATAAAGCAGGTTGGGGAAATAAGTTCAGAAAAAAATTTTTGAATGATTTAAAGTACAGAGGAACCTCGAGTGACGAGCGGCTCCATCTACGAGCATTTCAGGTAACGAGCGAGCCACTCGCAGAAAATTTGTCTCGATTGACGAGCTTCAGCTCGATTAACCAGAAAACCATGTGGTGCTTCCTAGCTGGTTCTCGCAAATTCTTTGACCCCTCCGATGATGCAACTCAATTAAAAAAAATTTAAAAGATGCTAAATGATGCTTGGATATAAAGGGGTGACTGCTGTAATGTTGCAAAGCACTGATTTTTTTTTAGAAATAAACAAAAAATTAAAAAAATTTGAAAAAAAAATTCAAAAGGTTCGTGCAGTGTATGTCAGGTAGGCTGCTCCATTTTCTATAAAAAATAAAAAATGAGAAAATATAAAAGTGAACAAATTTAGAAAAAAGAAAAAATGTCAAAAAGGTTCATTCAGTGTTTGTCAGGTAGGCTGTTCCATTTTCTATAAAAAAATGAAAATTAAAAAATAAAAAAAAATTGAAAAAAATTTGAAAAAAGAAAAAATGTCAAAAAGGTTCATTCAGTGTATGTCAGGTAGGATGCTCCATTTTCTATAAAAAAAAATTGAAGAAGAAAAAATGTCAAAAAGGTTTGTTCAGTGTATGTCAGGTAGGCTACTCCATTTTCTATGACAAAAATGAAAAAAAAAAGAATATCATATTGATGTTTTTCAGTGGTGGAACGAATTAATTTTATTTACATTATTTTAAATTGGGAAATTCGTTTCACAAGACGAGCGTTTCACATGACGAGCTCAGTGCCAGAACGGATTAAATTCATTAACTGAGGCTCCTCTGTACTGTAATTTTAATTTTATTTTACTTCATTAAATTACACATAGATAGATTTACCTCAATCCCCCATTGATATGTTTATGTAAACAACATTTTCCTGCAGAATGCCGAGTTCAAATGTTTTACTAAAAATTCACTTTTAAAATATTTAAAAGCTTTAACCTTTAAGTTTATATTAAGATACTGCCTTTGGCAGAGGAACCAGGATTATAATGCTCCATTTTTTCATCATTTATTTATCACTATATTCTTCTGCAGGGTGTTATGTCTGGCCTGGTTCTGAACGGTGAGCGTCCTCTAGATTTGGCAGCTGAACGGGATCCCAGAGTCAATGTACGGGGAGATATTCATCTCCTCATGACTCTTCCCCGAGGCCTACCTGCACAAGGAAGCCCAGGGGAGTTCAATCCCTGGCAACAGGTAAACTAATTTGAAGAATTTATTAGTTAATTTTAATTTAGTAATAGCATTTGTTCCAATTTTTCTTGCCCAAAATATAAAGAAAGACCCAAAGTCGTTGTAAGCCTATATAAGAAGTAAAACTAAAACAAAGGACTTGGTAAGACTCTTAAAAGATGAGAGTACCAAGTTGTAATAGATGATAAAAGGGCAGCAAAAACTTTGAATGAATACTTTACATCAGTGTTTACACTCGAAAGATTAGACAACATCCCATTACACACACAAATGTTTAAAGGAGGTGAAGAGAACGAATTAAGGGATTTATCCATAACATGTGAGATAATCAAGAAAACCAATGACAAACTAAAAAAATTCAAAAGCCCCAGGTGTGGATGGAATTCAATCAAAAGTTGTAAAGGAACTGGCAGATGCACTCTGCCTATCACTGAAATTCCCTTTCAGGAAATCTCTGGACCAAGGGATAGTTCTCCTAGATTGGAAATATGCAAATGTGATCCTTATTTTCAAAAATGGCAGAAAGAACTCTGCAGAACTCTCATCCTGTAACTATACTTAGGTAATTACGGTCTCTAAGGTAAGAAATTTACATGTGGTGAGTAGGGATTAGTAGTACTGTCATCTGTATCAGACAGGGACTACAACAACTTGAAATGCAAGATGTAGTCAGAAAATGCTGCTGCGGTGTGATTGACACCTTTCAAGAAGAGGGCATGGGCAAGACCAGATATGTCCTCTGGACACAAGACCTTTATGTCCAGAGGCAACAAATGGCACATACTCGAATAGGAATGGAACCCAGAACCCAACAAGCTGAATGATAGAAGCAAATGAAAGGCTATCATCATCCAAAAAACAGAATGACATCATCATAAAAAAACTTCAAACCACAGTGTAAAATATAGAATAAGACAGGGAAGCTATGCAATGCACACAAAGCAAAAAGATCTCATAAGGACAAGTGAAACTGGCTATCAAGATATTATACAGACAGGCAGGTGTGTCAGATGCAAGGAATGTCATGGTTAATCAAACACCAAAATCCAACTTTGATCACTCAGCAATGGTAGTTGTCTGAAACCAGGATTAGAACAAACATTAAGTGACGGTCAATGTGAACGGTGACAACTAGCTGCTGGAGATGTGAACAATGTATTGAGCAGCATTTTAGATATGAGCTAAAGATTAGGCTTTATGTGAGATATGAACAATGAATGGGGCTGCATGTCAGTTATGAATAATGATTAGGGCTGCATGTCAGTTATGAATAATGATTGGGGCTGCATATGAGATATGAACAATGAATGCGGCTGCATGCAAAATATGAACAGTGAATGGGCTGCATGGGACATTAACAATGAATGGGCTGCATTTGAAATTAACAATGAATAGGGCTGCATGTTTGATACAAACAATGAATGGAGCTACACGTGAGATATGATTTACAGGATTTACCTGATTTTCCTCTGGGGCCACTAACCCTAGCGGCCTCGATGAAGACAAGATGAGATGTATGAGATGCGAGAGATAGATGAGATGCATGTGAGGTGTGAAAGATGGATGAAGAGGTATGTGAGATATGAGAGATGGATGGGGCAGTATGTGTGATGTTGGCAATGTATCAGATGCTTGTAAGATATGAGAGATTAAGGGGACTGTATGTAAGATGTGGGTAATGGATGATATTTTGTACTAGCTGTGATTGTGTGTTTTAGTTTAGATAATCTAAATGGTAAGATAAATTTAGATAAAAAATTAATCTGAATGGAGAAATGTGATAAGTTGGGTACCACAGGGGTACATTTTGGGACCTACTCTTTTTGTCATGTACATCGATGACAGAGAGGAGAATATTACAAACTACATCATCATATTTGCAGACAACACATAGATTTATGGTTAAGTGGGAAATGATAATAATATTGAAGCCTTACAAAGAAATCTACATGAACTCCACAAATGGTCAGAAGACTTACATATGCTTTTTAATATTGACAAATGCAGGACCTTGCATGTGGGGCATAACAACCCATGCCACAACTACCAAATTAATAGCATAACATTACAGCAGATTGACGAAGAAAAGGGCTTCGGAGTCAAAATTCACCACTCATTAAAAGTTGCACAACAGGTGGGTGCAGCAGTCAGAAAAGCTAACCAAACTCTTGGGATAATCAAGTGTACTTTTGACTACTAAGGAAAAGAAGGTAATGGTTCAACTGTATAAATCTCTGGTGTGCCCCCATTTGGATTACTGTATCCAAGCATGGAGACCTCATTTTCAGAAGGACATAGCTGCTCTGGAGAAGGTGCAACACCGGGCAACAAAAGTCATTCCAGAGCTAAGTCATCTCCCGTATCAGGAACGCTTGAAGGCCACAGGGCTAACAACACTGCAAACCAGGCATGACAGGGCAGATCTCATTGAAACTTTTAAAATACTGAACAAGTTAGAGGATGTTGATCCAGATATTTTCTTCAGAAGGTCAGATGTAACACAAACAAGGAGCAATGGTTTCAAGCTCAACAAGCCACAATGTAGGACTGAGAACAAGAGATGCTTTTTTCACCCACAGGGTTATTAACCCATGGAACTGCCTACCTGCCGAAGCTGTAATTGCCAAAACTGTGTTGAGTTTTAAAATATTCCTAGAAAAGATCATCAAGGCAAATGGGGGGCACCTTCTACAAGCCGCTGGCTTCCTGTCCTCATTGAGGCCACTAGGGTTAGTGGCCCTCTTTGAGGTAAATCAGGTAAATTCAGACCATGGAAACAGGAATTTTATATTAAATTTAATGATAAATACTGTGATGTTAACTATAATTTTAAGTGCGAATTACAGTATTATCACTTTGATTATTTTAAAAACTATTGTAAATATTTTTTGTAATCGATTAATTTCACAAATGCATTTTGAATTCATTTAAACTTTGCTTTACATATTAGTCTCCATAACATTTATAGATTATTTTATTAAACCATAATTTTTATTTATATATAATTTTTTAGTTTTTAACTAACACAAACCAGATTACTTGTTGCTAAGATATATCGTTGCTAAGATATGTATGTACCTTACCTAAATAAACATTTGATTTGATTTGATTTGATTTGATCTCAATTCATCATTATAATTCAGTGTTTATACTGGAGACAAGGAGTCACCTACTTGAGCAGCGTAACAACCAAATCAGTATTTATAGTCATTCCTTGACTGCTGTTCAGGGGTTCTGTTGGATTTTGGAAGCAGTTATATGTATAGAATTTCACACTAATGAGCATAGTATAATATCTATACAGTATGTTCTGTTGCAATAATGTTATTATGAATTATGCTAAAGAAAAATAAACAATTATTTTTTTATTGTAGCTTAAAGTTTTATTTAGCATGTTTTGTGTTTTTCTACCTGGTAGTTTTATCTACCTGGTAGTTTTATCTACCTGTCTACCTGGTAGGAAGTATAGGTAGAAATACTGTATATAATACAAATTTGTTTTAAATATTTCTTAGCTAAAGAATAAGTTTCTTTTCTCCCAGGTGATGATCTCATTACACCAGTGTACATCCCACCAACACTTCCACCTGTGACTAAGCCCCCTGCTAAGCCGCACATACCTGACCGGGAAGTTGGTGTAGGGGTACGCCCATGTGACGACGAGGAGGACTGTACCACTGGCTCAGGATCAGGCGAATTCAACACTGAATTTGGAGGGATAACTGATATAGACAATGGTGAGTAGAATATTTGCGATGACTGCAAAAATTATATCTCTGTCTGTATCTATGATGCCTTTTATCCTGCGACATCTCTTCTTTATTAATTTTGTTGAAACATTTATAATACTGAATAATTTGGAGGGTGTTGATCAGCACAACTTCTAAAAAAGATCAGATGAAATGCAAACAAGGAGTAATGGTTTCAAGCTCAACAAGCCATGGTGTGGGTCTGAAAAGAGGAGATGCTTTTTCAACCACAAGGTTATAAACCATGGAGCCTCATACCCACTAAAACTGTAAATGCCAAAACTCTGCTAAACTTTTAAATCTAGCTTGAAAAAATCATCAGAACAAATGCAAAGACTCTTGACAAGCCACCAGCCTCCTGTCCTAGTCAAGGCCACTAGAGTGTTAGTGGCCCTCAGGTAAATTCAGGTAAATTTAGAGGGCTGCTGTATGGAAAAGCTGTCTCAATCATTTCAAATGAATTGAAATGTTAGAATAACTCTGAACATTATCATGTTCTGATGTGACAATATGAAGCATACAAAAAATTTACCCTCACATTAATGTGATGCAAGATGCTGCATTCGTTATGAAAATTTGTAGTACAGTGCTGATAACAACTACACCTTAGTCCTCTGAGACCCATCCATCATCTGCTTTCAGCCAGGACCAGAATCTGGCTCATTCTACAAGGCAAGGCAAGCTTGGGGATCAGAAGTTGTCCAAATTGAGATAAACTACTATAAATCATAGATGCAACATATTAAGCAACTGCTTGAAGGCAAGAATGCACCTACTGGTAAATAAGGTAAATGATCATTGCATGGGGGGAAAATACCTTAAAGGTAAAATTGAGAACAAGTGATAAAGTCACTTGGCTGCCACCAGATGGCAGCCCAGGTCAACCTGCTACCTCACTCTTCTGCCTGGTGCTGTTAGCTACACTCCTGCCTATACAGGCTTGTCAGCTGCTTTGCACTTTCAGCTAAGTGGTGCTGGATTTTTCAAGTACTTGCCGGCCGACCATGGCGACGGTTGGTTGGCTTAATATGTGGGATCTTTCCTGATTTCATCTGGCCTGCTCTCATCCTAGCATTTTTTGGGGCTCTCATTAGTTCTATTTCTTCCATCCAATGTAACAGAGACATTTTGTGCAAACATTTCTTTCTTCCAGGTTCGTTTTGTATCCTCCTCAGTTCTTTTTGGGCTTTCCCTGTTTTTTCTCCCAAATCAGCTGTGTTTTGCCTCAGCTTTTCAGTGGTATTGGTGTTTGCCTACATCAGCCAGCTGGTTTCTCACCTCTGCCTACACTCCTGGTGAGACTGTCTGGACAATATTCCCTCAACTTGCTGTGCTTTCTACATGACTCCACAGTACTAAGAAACTGACATCGCACTGCTATTTAATCTACAAAATATTGGCATGTTTCTTTTCTGCAAATTGAACCTGAGTCTTGCTGGTCTAAGCATTAAGAGGCAGAAATTAACCTCATTGAAATCACAACCATCTCAAGGTTATATGTGCCCCAGTCTACAAATGCCAACAATATACAGATGACTTAATGTGTTATAACATAAACTAACTCGTCGGCCAGGTAAAAAGGATACATAAAACAAAACCAGGGTGAATGTTGTTGAATTGGTAAGCATTTTTAAAGGTGCCTCTGTTGAACTAGAAAACCTCAATTTATAAATTGAATAACATTAGATATTAACACCCAAATCACAAATCTGGAAATAAAATAAAAGAATTAGCAACATTTTGGTCTATCCAGGACTATTATCAAGTTGTGCCCATGACTTGTGTATCCTTTGAGCTAAAGCCCCACATTTCTTTATCATTCTCAAATTGGATGCTGGTCAAAATTTCCCACAGGCTCCACCAGGATTTGTAGCCATGCTTCAGACAGAAAGCACATGACTTGTGGAGGTTCATCCTTTCTTTTATTTATAAGTTTGTGTATACTGAATAGTCCTTAATTGAGATTACCTTAATCCAGCTAATTCTAAACTACATAAGTCTACATCTTCTAAAGTACAAGTCCTAAAACATAACTTGATTTTTTAATCAGGTGATGACATGGACCTTGAATTCCCAGCAACTCACCATCCAATGCTCGCTCCAGATGTAATTCACTCTGAGGAACGTGACCCGTCAAGCACTGGCTTCGGCCAACCTAAGAAGGATCCTGGTTCTGGTCCTACCACTTCTACAACAACCACATCCACTACTACAACCACAACACAAACCCCTAGGACAAGACAACGAACCACCACCACCATTCCAGTTGCTCCTTCCTCCCGACCTCAAGAACCGCCTGATACTAATGATTATGATTACGATTACAACTTTCCAGCGGTGCAGCCTGACAACAAAAAGAAGTCCAGTGTTAAAGAGGACCCTATAGACCAGATTCATAGTGAAGCTGCTGGAAGTGTTGCTCTTATTATCAGTATCATTGCAGGAGCTCTCATTATTGTTATACTTATTGTACTGCTCATACTCAAATTTAAGGGCCGTCAGGATGGTGCTTACAAAGTTGATGAGAGTAAAAACTATGAAGGAATACCTACAATGCCAACTCCTATGATCAATGGCCAAGGGAATGGCACTATAAAGCCAGGTGATCGAAGGCCTGTAAAGAAACAAAGTAAGGATGTCAAAGAATGGTATGTGTGAATGTTAAGCATTTATAATGAAGAATTATATCATGTAAAGTCTCAAAATTACGACTGTGATCTCTATTCTTTTGCAATACCTCTACAATGATAGAAATATATGCCCCCTTTCAGTCTGTGTTAATATATTAGTTCATGACTGTAAGTCGCTATCCTAATTCAATCATAAAAAAGAATAACTATAAAAATGTTTTCTACTTGGAAACTACTGTATTGTAAGTTAAAACTTCAGAGACTATTTGATTTATAAAAATTATGATGTAGTTTAGGTCATGCAGTGATGTTTGAATACCAGTGTTTGTGAATGTTGCCGCTTCTATAAGATCCAAGTTTTTGTAAGTACCTATTGATTGAAGGTGCATAGATTAGTTAAAAGTGTGAGATATAGCATAAACATAAGATTGAAAGTTAGAATGACTGAGAAAAAATTTACACATATTTCTCTGAAGGATTAATTTGATTTACACTTTCTTTGAACTTACACGTACAGTCGTGGTTGCAAACGTCCATTGTAGAGCAAGAGTATTGTTAGTCATCAGTCTTTACACTGCTGTCATGACTTCTGTGATGAAGAGGTTGTGACACATTCATTAAAATCTTTCCTAAACAAATCTCTTTCATGGAGAAGACTGTTAATGAAATGATGTACAATACTACTCAGCTCTATGAACACTTAAGAACACTGCTTTGCAAACATGCGAACATGATCAATGCTTCTCCTCTTAATATCTAGCCCTAATATTATAGCACAAAGAGCGAAAGCTGTCGCAACACTAGATTGGTATAGAGCCATGGTGTGCATGCCTTCGTGTCAATATGTTAATACATGTAATACAGATTGACCCCCATGTCTCTCTTGTCAGGGTGCTGATATGGCTGACAGTAAGCTTCTCTAGTGACTTGTTGCTTGGTGAAGCCATGTATGTCAGGCAGCATCATACTCTGGTGTCCTGTGCCTGTTTCCTATGAGGTGGAGTATAGACTACATACCTGGAAATGGAGTTCAGAGCAATCGTTTGGTTAGCAACCAAAGTCTTAATCGAGGGATATTCCCCTGTATTTCCATTTGTTCTCAAATTTTATAATAATAATGCTCTGAATGCCACTTCCCCATATTGACTTAATTAGCAGTGTGATGGTGTAGGTCAGTGTAGTTAACAAAGTATAGAAGACAATGAGGTAGAGAAATGGGTCTCCGAGAACAAGATGTACTGTATTTGAGTAATTTAAAGGGTTATGTGGTTATGTTCAGATCATATAGTTTAATGTTAGATGTAGAATCAAGCTGGTGACATATCATTACCAATGTGTTAGCAAATTCTCCGTTGATAAGAGATCACAGAATTCACAAAGTTTGCACTTAGCCTGTTTCTTGTTGGACACTGAAAAGTCCTTTTCCTCATTTTAACCTTTTAAAGGGAAATGAAGACATCACTATATGCTTATGAATTATTATTTAAAATACACTTAGTAGTTTTCTGGAAGGAAATAATTTGTTTTGCTTCAGAATAAAGTTTAAATTTAATTTGAATATGAATATCATGGCATCTAAATTCCTCATTAAGTGCCCTTATGGTGGCCACTGTTCCCTAAGTCTTTTTAGTACAATATTTAGTTGTTTTAAGTTCATTAGTAATAGTCTCTAGTGGTATAAAAGATGTAGATAATCAAAAAAAAGAAAGAATGGTATATGGATGTGTGTTGCTGAAGCCCTTCCAATGTAATCAGTAGCAGTAATATTCCCCTAAGCTCTTGATGGCTAACAATATCCATAAGTTTGTATTTTTGCATCTTCATACAAAATCTTGTAATGGGACAAGGAAACACAGAAACCTTAGTTGTTTATCTTACAACTCTTGTAATATTGACGCTGGGTATTTATTTTTATGGAAACGTTTGACTTGGAAAACATAATACGAAACAGTGCACTTGGGAATGGAAGTACTGCACATAAAATTTTATTTGTTTTAAACTTCTATTTAGCCCAAATTTTCCTGGCAGCTATCTGAAACTACCTCAAGGTTATCAGTATGGTAACGGATGTTCAGGTATATACAATATTACTGCAGTATTGCATAAACATGGTATTAACATTAGATCAAATTGTTATTTTGTAATTAATGAAAGGTTATCTATGAAGGAAAATATTGTTTTTAAATATTTATTAGAATTTGGGTATGAGGACTTAAAAGCAATTGTCCTTTTATGCTTGGTGCTCATTAAATGAATAAATTTACAATGATTTTATTGGTTTATGATAACTGATGTATAGGCAATTTATTTTTTATAGTATTTTTCAGAAATTATAATTACAACTTAGCAAATTATTGTTTATGAAACAATACAGTATTTTAATCTTTTAATATTGAATTACAGTACATGACTGTTTTAAATTATTCCTACCTTCATGGATAAAACTACAATTTAAGATACAGTACTATATATACTTTTGACCATTAACAAGATGAGTACTCTAAAATTTTGAAAGCAATATATATTTTGTGTTTCCTAACCACAGTATCAATGATAAGGCTACATGGTGTTTAAATCATGTTATGGCCCAGAAAGGAATTACATTACTGTAAGGTATGGAAGCATTCTACTTTAAATTTAATATAGCTGGTATACATACTTGATTTTAAATGTTTATGATAACTGATTTACCAAATTATCATTTGAATTGGGTTTTAAACAATTTACAGTTTATTGTGGGGTAGTTACAGTGGCACACGATTATCAAGAAGGAATGAACTAGTCCATGTTTGTGAACTATTATATGGGTATTTTATCATTATAAATTAAACCAAATTTATCATTTATTTTACATAAATTATCATTTGGCTTTGAGAATCTGAGAATTCTCAAATTATTTTAGAATTTATTATGAGCGGGGTGTGAGATATTTTATGTCATGGAGTGCTTGAGTCTATAATGCAGCTTCTGAACTGTACACAAGCTACCTCCAGAGGACTCTGTTACAACAGCACACACATCTGCAAAATATTTATCTTGGGCACCCTCCAGCTCCTCAGTGGCTCCTACTCCACCTCACCCAATCCTCCTCACCAAATATTCCTCACCCGATACTCGTCCAGCATCCTGGGCGTCATTGTGTTAGCTGTTGGTTGCAAAGCACTGTTTGAAAACTTTGCACTAATTGCTTTAATATATGTGAAGGTTAAAGCTGTTGTCTATTGTGAAAGGTAGGATAATATTGTATTTGTTATGAGTTAAATCACTCATTAAGGTTAGGAAAATGTTGCGATATTAAAAGTATCATAATAAAATATTATATCTTTGCAGGAGTTTATGTTTAGTGTTGACATATTTGTATATCTTCATTTCCCATCACCCCTAAAAATGATCCCAATTCTGAATTTTGTTAATTGGTACATCATTTATTGTTTAATAAAAATGAAAGTTCAGTGTATATAGGAGTTCTAACATTACATATGTTAGATGACATCAATGTAGTATTATTTCCCAAGCATCATTGAATTTCATGTTACTCTACTTGTGTGATTATCACAGCATACCATAACAGGATAACATCAGGCTAAAATACTCTTAATACATGATAGTTAACAAGTATTTAAGATTTTGTTTTATGTTCCATATGACCTGATAACATGCAATAATATATCTCAGATATACATTAAATTATAAATAAATTTAAATTGTTTATACAGTACAATATATTTAATATACTGTATAAACAAATTTGCCAGATTTATGATTGTCAATATGACTAGTGGACTGGAGGGACTGAGGAATGCTGGATTATGAGAGGTCTCTTCCTCTTTACGCTATTTTGACTGATGAATATCAACAGGTAAGTTATGTATTCAATAATTTTATTATAATAAACTTATTATAATATTTTTATTTAAAAAATATACATAACAGCATAATACAGTGGTCAATTACTAGATACATAAAACGTTTCTTAAATAAAGTCAACTAATATGTTAAGCATTTTGGCATGAACTTAAAGTTCATATGTAGTAAACAATTTACTCTTGTTAAATGACAAAATATTACAACAACTAATACATACTGTACATTATTATTACTGTATTTTCATTTTTATTGATGGGGGAGACATATGCATGGAATATATTGGGGGACAATATTTTGAAGAAAAATTACAATAAATCTAAATATATAGCACTCGTGCATTCATTATACAGTAGTATCCACACTGCAGCATCCCAGATAAATACGCACCACAACCACACATCAGCAATCCAACCTGTCCTCTTACAAATTACGTCGCTTTTCGCTTGTATGCGCATTCAAGCTAAAAATCAACGTAATTAAAAAATAAATTGGCTCACGAAAGTTACATACTGTACCGTTTTCTATTTTGGGTCCCCTGGCTTAGGGTCTTAGGTTAGCAGAGGAAACTTTCGTTTAACAGTTTTCATGATGTTTTGAAACCTTAGAACTTCCTGCCTTCCTAACCTACCAGAAAACCCTTAACTTGCTGTTTTGAAAAAAAAAATCCAAAATTTAATTGGAAAATAAATTTCCATTTTGAATTAGTGTACGTCGATATTTGGCTGTAGCGCATACGAGTGAAAAGCAACGTAATTTGTTGGAGGACGGGTTGGCTCGGTAGCACATTTAGATTCATTTTCCTCTCAGAATTTGTAATCCTAGGAGAGACCAAAATGGTTGGGCACATTTCATTTCACTTAATGCCTCTTTTTCACCTAGCAGTAAATAATTACCCAGAAGTTAGTCATTTGTTGTACAGTAGTGTTGCATCTTGCGGAATGTCAGTATTTCGTCCTTGGGGGGACCTTGATATAAGCTTAACATCATATACATTCTAAAATAACACATATTTCTCATGTTATCCATTTCTACTGCTAAAATTCTTGATTGTATTCCAGACCATTGTCTTGATGTTAGACAATTGTTGTGGGTTGCATCCTGGGGAAGGTTAGTAGATGGACAAGGGGGACTCCTAAGTTCAGGCTTCCTTTCTCCAACAATGTGAAACCATAAGAGGTGATACTAACACATCCTTATCTAGCATGTTTTTGTGCTCACGTTTGACTTGTCCATCATATAAAAGCCTACTGTGTCCTTGGACATGGATTGAACAGTCAAGCAGGTGTGATATACACATTACATTAACTGAAATACAGTACTATAATATTTATAAGAAAAATACAAAATCAAAACAATACTCTAGCTAGGCAGCAACTGTAGTGACCTGCCAGACATTATAACTGTACAGTATCTACTGCTCATCCACTCTGTGCTATGATGATTAGTTAGGAGCTTTCTACTATGGTGCCTAAGTTGAACTGGTACAGAGGGGTTTCCTACTGGACCACAGTCTATTAATCTCAGCTTTTTAAGATTTATTTAAGTTAGTTGAGCTGCCACACTCCAAAAAAAGGCCCCAGACTTGGCCAGCAATATTCAATTGTCTCAGATGATTGTCAGAATGCTGTCTTTCCTCCAGCATCAACACCAGCCTCTCAGACATCAGGAACCTGATATGAATCCTCACCCCACCCTATTCTGCTCCTAGCCATGGCTTCATCAGGCAAATTAGATACAACTCTGGAATTTAATGTGAATTTATATACCCTATTATATTATTATAATGTTTTTGTTCAATATTGTGCCACTTAGATCCTCTCAAATCTGTGTACATTTGAAAGTTACCACACCACTTCCTTATACGAACCCACTCAACCATGCTGTTGCTAAGTAAGAAACAAACAGGACAGTAATGACAAAAAATTCTGTTATGAGCAGTAAACTTTCATATGGTAAAGTAAAACCCCAAAAATGATTAAAATAAAGAAACTAAAGTAATCTGTGATCCCTGTCATAGTGGTCCACAACTTTTCTCCTAAATGATGACCAAACCACACACCCGAAGATGAAGAAACGACGACCTGGACCACTGCTCAGTCCATTGTCCATTGTCATTTTGTCCTGGACCATTATCAAGTCGTATGTCTCATAAAGTTCATCTTTGTTGTGGGGGGAAGGAAATGTCCATTCTTACCCCTTATTGCAAACACCTATCCCCCATTACATCTTGTGAGTGGTGATGAAAAGATTCCAGAGGCATATAACTGATTCAGGATTTGAATGCCAATTTTGATCTTTACAATTGTTTTACACTGGAATCTTCTGTCTGCAAGATGACCTGCACCTACTTCCCTTGGCAGACGTGATGGTGCTGATGCTTTCGTCTCCCAGAAGTGTGTCCTTACCTTCTTTGAATTCGTTATATCTGGTAAAGATGCTTACATTAGGGAGCAACCGAATGTGATAGCTGGGATACATGTTTATATATTGACCTAAAGCTTTATATTTAACTCTTTAATATTGTAGAAAATTAACATTTTTTTTTTTTTTTTTTTTTTTGAGATATATACAAGAGTTGTTACATTCTTGTACAGCCACTAGTACGCGTAGCGTTTCGGGCAGGTCCCTGGAATACGATCCCCGCCGCGAAGAATCGTTTTTTCATCCAAGTACACATTTTACTGTTGCGTTAAACAGAGGCTACAGTTAAGGAATTGCGCCCAGTAAATCCTCCCCGGCCAGGATACGAACCCATGACATAGTGCTCGCGGAACGCCAGGCGAGTGTCTTACCACTACACCACAGAGACTGTTTTTAAACAGTTTAAACATTAAACAGATGCATACTGATTTACCTTTTACAGGGGAGTATACTTAATGAACAACTTGCAATTGCAATTCTTTTACCATGTCATAATACAGTTGACTAGAGTGCACCTAGGAACACCAAGCACAGCTTCAAACCCTCATCAAGGCCCTTGTGGATTTGTTCATTTGATATATTACGTTATTGTGATTTCTGTGTGTATTTACTTAATGCTATGTCTAAACTTAACAATGTTTAGTTCATTTACTTTAAAATCCTAAAGTAATCTGGCAAACATCTGCATGAGAACTTAGTTTCCCATTTTCAGGGAGAGGAAGTGTGTTTAGTCTTCTCAGTGGCACGAATAAGTGAAATGGGCTTAAAGAGGAAATTGTTAAGGTATGCTGAATTTTGTATTGTTATTGTTTACTAGATGGGGTACCCGGCTGTGCCTGGGTCTCTTTACCCCCCCCCCCCTCCCTCTTCTTTTCTGCTCTCCCCTTCGCCTCCTCTTTCACTCCTCTTCCCCTATCCCCACCTCTCCTGTCCTCTTCTCCCCATCTCCCTCCCTCTCTCACCTTTCCCTATCTTCTCTCTCACTTTGCCCTTTTTCCCTACTGTACCCCCCCTTTCCTTCTCTCTCTCTCTCTCTCTGAAAATTTTATATTATGAACAACTGAAAACTGCTAAAAAATTATTTCAGACTTTGTAAAAATCACAGGGAGTCAGTATAAAAGGCAATATTTCATAAATTGTATCATTGGGGTTCACATCGACCTTCTCACATTCCCATACCCATGTCTGAGGAACGGAGGTTTCAGTTAGGTACCCCACAAGGGGGAGTATTAAGTCCCACCTTATTCAATGTATTAATGAACAGATTAGCATCAGAGATGTATCCTCCAGGGGTCACGACGATCATATATGCTGATGACATTCTTATACAAGGCACTTCCGGGAACAAAATTCAAACTGCTCTTAACATACTTGGTACAACCTGTCACAAGTTAGGCTTAGTTATAAATGCAGATAAAACCAAATATGAGTATAGGAAACGAAGAAATATAACACTTACTCTAAATGGTGTGAAACTGAGCCGTGTTCAGAAGTACAAGTATCTGGGCATGTATGTTGGATACACATGTGAGAGTAAAAATACTGAAATAAATCATATCAGCACCTTATGTAAAGCCCGTCTGCATCCTCTAAAAGCACTGGCTTTTTCTGGTAAAGGTGTTGGGGTACCTTTCTTACGGATGTTATACATAAGCACTGTTCGGTCCCTGATAGACTACGCAGCACCCGTTTTGTCTTACACAGGCCAAGGCAGAATTAAAAAAATAGAGCTGATACAGAACGAGGCTATGAGGATTATTCTTGGATGTCAAAGAAATGCAATGATTGAAATAATGAGAATGGAATTAAATTTACAGAGTGTGTGTGATAGAGTCCGTGACATTAACACTAGAGTAGCTATTCGTTTCATGCGGAGAAAAGGAGGGGATAAGCTGTTTGAGAGCGTTCAGACCGGGGGTCCATAGAATTACCCAAATCGGCCCAAAACTACACAAATCGTCCTAGCATTACGTAAGTAATGAAGAAATATGGTATATTTACTTACTATAATGTTGGTGCTACACGTAGAACATGATCAAACCTATTTTTACTCTGAAATAATCTAATTTCATAACGAAATGAGACGTAAATATGTGAGAGGTGACGCCATTGGAAGTCGACGGTCCAAGCGACAATTGTGTGGAGCGACTTATCCAAGATATATGGTCGCCTGGAGAGTGTTTGCTGCCATCTCAGCCTCCTGT